TAACGGTGACTTTGTCTGAGACACTTGTAACGGTGACTTTGTCTGAGACACTTATAACGGTGACTTTGTCTGAGACACTTATAACGGTGACTTTGTCTGAGACACTTGTAACGGTGACTTTGTCTGAGACACTTATAACGGTGACTTTGTCTGAGACACTTATAACGGTGACTTTGTCTGAGACACTTGTAACGGTGACTTTGTCTGAGAAACTTGTAACGGTGACTTTGTCTGAGACACTTGTAACGGTGACTTTGTCTGAGACACTTGTAACGGTGACTTTGTCTGAGACACTTATAACGGTGACTTTGTCTGAGACACTTATAACGGTGACTTTGTCTGAGACACTTGTAACGGTGACTTTGTCTGAGACACTTATAACGGTGACTTTGTCTGAGACACTTATAACGGTGACTTTGTCTGAGACACTTATAACGGTGACTTTGTCTGAGACACTTGTAACGGTGACCTTGTCTGAGACACTTATAACGGTGACTTTGCTTGAGACACTTATAACGGTGACTTTGTCTGAGACACTTATAACGGTGACTTTGTCTGAGACACTTGTAACGGTGACCTTGTCTGAGACACTTATAACGGTGACTTTGTCTGAGACACTTATAACGGTGACTTTGTCTGAGACACTTATAACGGTGACTTTGTCTGAGACACTTATAACGGTGACTTTGTCTGAGACACTTGTAACGGTGACCTTGTCTGAGACACTTGTAACGGTGACCTTGTCTGAGACACTTGTAACGGGGATCTTGTCTGAGACACTTGTAACGGTGACTTTGTCTGAGACACTTGTAACGGTGACTTTGTCCGAGACACTTATAACGGTGACCTTGTTTGGGACACTTATAACGGTGACTTTGTCTGAGACACTTGCAACGGTGACCTTGTCTGAGACACTTTCTGGGACGACTATGTGCGTGTGTTTTATTGTGGTTGTATTGTATGTGATTGATGTACGTTTTCAAGTTTCAAAAAAGTAAATTTAAAATGTCAGTTACTGTATAGCCTCAGATTTAATGAACCCACAATGGCATAAGGGACATTAATAAATCGGTTTCTTTCCATCAGTGAGTTCGAGTTGGTAAATTGATTGGGTTATGCCCCGTTCTCAGCACCACCCACCTGAACCAGCAATCAAATAAGAAGCAACAAGTCTGACGTCACGCGATTGTACTAATCTACAATGCGGGGGCGTCATTTCATGTTTTTTTTTTTGTTTTTTTGTTTTGTTTTTTGAAAGACTTGTTTTTTTATAACTTGGTCGGCTTGTTAAGTTGTTTGCTACTGGCGGCATCACAGCTCATAGCAATTTAAATAAAACCTTCAAATTCGGGGGTTGGGGGTGCAAATGCCCCACCCTGCAAATGTCCCACCCTGCAAATGCCCCACCCTGCAAATGCCCCACCCTGCAAATGCCCCACCCTGACCTACCCAAATGACCTCCTTGCAAAAAAGGCCTGCTATGCTTAATGTGTGTAATGCATTATTACAACCGACATTTAAAGAAATATATATACACATATATATATATATATATATATANGTAGTTTGACGTCTGCCAAATGACGTGCCCCGTGTAGCCGTGTCGATAGTGTCAGACGTGGGTTCACCTGTGCAGGTAGTGTCAGACGTGGGTTCACCTGTGCAGGTAGCGTCAGACATGGGTTCACCTGTGCAGATAGTGTCAGACGTAGGTTCATCTGTGCAGGTAGTGTCAGACGTGGGTTCACCTGTGCAGGTAGTGTCAGACGTGGGTTCACCTGCGAGATGAGATGTTTGAGGCGAGGAGCTTTGGTCAAACATGAAGGGACCCCACATTTGTTATAGCCAGGAACCAGGAAATCATACAAACGGTTGGAACAACGCCAATCAGCCAGTATATATATATATATATATATATCGTTTGGTGACGTGATCGGAATGGAATACCTGCCGACCAAACAGCGTTGCAAATTAGAATAGCAGGATACACGGGTTTCGGGGCCAGAAGAAGATGCCGCCGGCAGTAGATCGACCGTGTTAAAGTCAACAACATGAGCCTTCGGCAGGCCACACACATTGGGACAGATCACACAAACATCATCCCTGTGGCGCCACCCAGGTAGAAGCGCCCAGAAGAAATATGGCTGTTGTCGTTTAAGATAGTGCACATTCTCTTTTAGCATCCCGATACCTTTTTCCTAGGAAAATAATAAACATTACCTGCACTAAAATTATTCCAAATTTTGCTTTTTTTCCCCCAGCCTCCGATCTACATTTTTAAGACGTCATTTAAATAAACTTCCGGTTAACTAAGTAGGAACTTTGCAGCTACAATTAAAAAAATTATGGCACCGCGAATTTTCTTTCATGTGTAGCCTATAATATAGTGTGAGGAGAAAAGGTTGAATCTATGATAAGAACACGTTTTTCAAAATGCTTCTACTGACTATTTCTATCATGAAATTATTTCCAATCACTTTCGGCACTTTATCGTCTTCTGGATCCCATTTTCTGGTAGCTGCCCCCCTGATAATGTCTGTGCCTAAGCAACCGCCCCCAAGCATACAGTTCTTTATGAGCACTCGAATGCACAGGGATGTTCATGTCACCATCACAACGCCGACGTTTTTGAAAGAAGGAGGGGCCCCTCAAAAGTCCCTGCATCACGAACTAGAGCTGAAACCGAGGGTCATATCCGGCTACGAATTGGACCTAAAATTCATTTCTCGGAAGGTGTTTGGGAAAAAATGGAGCTACAGGCTCAACGGCACCGGGATTTTTTCCCTCTCCGTCGTTTTATCTAATGGCAAAGATTCGATGGCGAGCTTCCAGGCCCTGCCGGTAGAGTTTTGGGGTAAGAAATATATAGCGGTTACACTCTGGATCTATCCCTCCTTGCAGATAATAAGCAGCGCCGAGAACAACAGCATACACGCCTTTGTTAACATCAGTGGCGACGATCAAGCGCCAAAAGTATTTTACGACTCCCAAGAGTTCGCTGGCGGTGCGCTGGACTTTGTTTTGGGGCAGTGGGAGGCCTTTTCCATTTCGTACTGCGACTCGAGGAAGGAGCTCGCCCTAGCCTTGACGGGGAGCTTCGTCGAAGGAGAGGAGCCGATCGGCGTGATCAGCGGCAACTGTGAGTCACGGAGCCGCACCACTAACTGTAAGAACGACACGCGGTACGTTGTCGGAAAGACCTACGACCTCGTCGCAGAAATGCTTCTGCCGAAAGAAGCAATGGGCACCGAGTTCATCGCCATCGCGCCGAGACGCAGGAAGACGAACGGCCTGTTGCTCATCGTGGCCGGAGAGAATAACACCAGGGTGAATGTGAGCGTCGGGAACAAGGGTCGGGTGCAGACAATCGCGTTCCAAGAAGAGGGGGAATTTAAACTTGACTTCCTCACCAATAAGAACCGCAAGGTTGTGAGCAGTAAACGAATTCACGTGATCATTGCCATGATGTCTGCGTGCCTTGAGGGCAACACCATAGAACCCCTTGGCGACCTCTCCATCGCATTAATCGTGCCCAACCTTCTGTTTTACGCAGAGTACATTTGGATCACGCCTCTGGCGATCTCGGACAACTTTGTCGCCGTCGTGGTCGAGAAGACCCAGGCCGAGTACATTTACCTGGACCACACGCCGCTGGCTGCGCGCGTTCAGTGGGAAGAGGTCACGGGAGATTCAACGTTCAAGGTCGGCACCGTCAGTGTGTCCAATAGAACTCACTTCATCGCTTCGACGCACTACTTTAAATTTGGATGCTACCTCTACGGTTTAGACCGTGCCGTGCAGTACATGAGCCCAGCCGGATTTGAAGGCTGCATTCGATCCGTAGACCTCATGTTTGACGGAGATGGTATAGATAATGACTGCGACGACTACGTCGACGAAGAAGCTCCGGATGGCTTAGATAACGACAAGGACGGGAGACTCGATGAGGATACATACGGGGCTCAGGGAATACCCGGTAATTGGGGCCCCTGGGAGGCCTGGGCGTGCAACCTCGACTGCAAAAAAATGGTTCTGGTCAGGACGCGGCATTGCAACAACCCACCGCCCAGCGACGGAGGTCGCGACTGCCTGGGGTTGAAAAAGGAGATGCTGGACAACATGACCTGCATGGCCAATATAGAATGCTGGACAGACTGCCACAATTTCACGTGGGGCAAGAACTGCTCGCGCAGCTGCGCCAACTGCAAGGACGAGTGCAATTACATAACAGGCGAGTGTTCTTTTTGCAGAAGCGGGTTCAAGAACCCCTCCTGGGGATGTGACAAGACGTGTGACGTTAACGAGTACGGTGAAGAGTGTCACAGCAGCTGCGTGGACAAGTGTGGCGCCGACTGCATCGACCGGGTGACGGGTGAGTGCCCGAACGAGAAAAGTTTTCAACTGTTGTGGATGCTATGGTTTATCGTCATCCCGATTATTGTGTTGATGTATTTTTTAAGGAAAAAAGAAATCGCCGTTCACACTGAGGCGGAGAACAAGCACCGAGGCTCCACCAAATCATAGACGTTTTCAGTTTACTGTAGACGCAAATTTGTTGTATTCCTTGTAGGTCATTGCCGTGCATTTGTTGTGAACTCTGAGTTCTTCGCAGGTTTGACATTAGTCAACATTCTAAGTTATTCGTAGATTTCACATTGTGTTGTCAGAGTAGAACTTTTTATGAACGTGGGAACATTGTGTTTATTTATTGAAATGGCAGTTGTGGTGGAATAGTTTCCAAAGTTATGGTGTTGGAATAATTGGTTGTGATAAAACTATGGAATAGTTGTTTGTGATAAAACTATGGAATAGTTGTTTGTGATAAAACTTTGGAACAGTTAATTGTGATAGAATGTTGCAATAGTTGGATGTGTCAGAATGTTGGAATAGTTGGTTGTGAAAGAGCTTTGGAATAGCTGGCTGTGATAGAACTTTGGAATAGTTGGTTGTGATAGAATGTTGCAATAGTTGGATGTGTCAGAATGTTGGAATAGTTGGTTGTGATATAACGTTTCAGTAGTTGGTTGTGGGGGCATTCCGGTATGTGACAGCACGTTGGAATAGTTGGTTGTGGGGGCATTCCGGTATGTGACAGCGCGTTGGAATAGTTGCTTGTGGGGGCATTCCGGTATGTGACAGCACGTTGGAATAGTTGGTTGTGAAAGAACGTTGGAATATTTCATTGCGTAAATAGCTGTGTAGAAAGTAAAGATCTTTGAGTGACAAGACACTGTCGTTTACTGTTAAATTTCAAGATTATGCCTTTGTATTACCAACAAAAAAAACCCAAAAAAATGAAATAAAAATCGACGCCACCGCTATTAAATGCGAGTTCTCAACTTACTGGAATATCTCCCATAACCAAACTATTTTATATTAACTTTTTATTTATAATTAAAAAATCTTGAAGGATGTGGATGTTTTCAAAGAATTGATAGCACCAATATTTCAGACCAAAAGCACTTATGGCGGAACAAATAAACTTTATTAAATTAGAAGCACTTATGACGGAACAAATAAACTTTATTAAATTAGAGGCACTTATGACGGAACAAATAAACTTTATTAAATTAGAAGCACTTATGACGGAACAAATAAACTTTATTAAAATTAAAAGCACTTATGACGGAACAAATAAACTTTATTAAATTCGAAGCACTTATGTCGGAACAAATTTTTTTTAATTAAATTAGAAGTCATGAATTGTATTTCTTGTAGATCTTTATGATTATACCATTGTATAATAGATGTAAAACATTTCGTCCTCTCCATCACTTTCAATTGTTTGAAAGGAAATTTATTGGATTATGTCCCTTACTCAAAATCCCTGAAGAAAAAATTGAACCATTAAATAGATTATTTGCCCTTACTTAACACCTCGCAACAGTTATACCATTATACAACTGATCGTGTGACCCATCTACACGTAAAATGTTAATTAATCAATGCACCTATTTACGCTCTGTTTTAAATGGTCACAAAGGAAGTCGGAATGTTAAGACTAGTGATGGGCTTATTTATGACTTTGTTGGAAAGCTTGCTCTGCATTTAAGTGAAAGGATTTCTTTGGTTCTTTGAACAGTTGGCTTGCAGACAGATATGAAACGAACACTTTTAGAACCTGCCTAAAGAAGGATCCATCCAGAAGAAGAACCAGCTAAAAGGATCATCTGGAGGAATGAGAAACTTCACGAAAAGCTAGAACCAACAAAGGAAAGACTAATTAGAAAGGGGGAAATCTGACCTTTTTAATTCTTAATTCATCTCTGTGTTCGTGCGGCTAATCTTGGTTACAGGACCTTTCACATAAATAACATTACCTTGCAGCACTTAAATGAGATAATAAATTGTGGATGGACTTTTGCTATTACTTGGTGTTATCTATAACTTCACACAACTTAAGACAAAAGTAGGTTAAAGATAAGGGAAAATGGAGAAAGAATAAACAACAAAAACAAAAAATAATTTTAAAAATATATTACAAAAAATTGAAGAAAACAAATTGAAAGAGAGAATGACAATATAAAGGAATTGAAAGTTAAAGATAAATTTAATGTTTAGAAGAGAAGATGAACACAAATGGTAGGCTAATAAGAGAAGATTAAAGCAAATGGTAGGCTTATAAGAGAATATTAAAGCAAATTGTAGGCTTATAAGAGAATATTAAAGCAAATGGTAGGCTGATAAGAGAAGATTAAAGTAAATGGTAGGCTTATAAGAGAAGATGGGGGAGTTAGAAACGATAACAGAATAGGAGAAATTGTAATCTACAAGAGTATTTCCCTGTTTGGGAGTAGCAGAATGAAGAGCAGAATGAATAGTATAGCAGAATGAATAGTATGGCAGAATGAATAGTATGGCAGAATTCGAAAGTTATGAGATAAATTTAAGTATTGGTTAAGTTGTTTTTTTTTAAAGAGTTGAATAGGAAAGTATTGAGACTTCGTAACAACGTTGTTAAACAAAATATCCGATGCAATTTAAAGCTGACGATGACGACATAGAAAGTCAAGAAAGTTCTTTTATAATATATATATATATATATAATTTTTAACATAATCATATATTATATCATTTGTATTTATTTGGTGGGAGGCGATGGTGGGAGCGGGGGTATCCGTACTTGAAATGGCTGTTATGGGAACATTTCAGAATAATGAGCCAGGCTGGGGTGGGGGGGGGTTGGGGGTGGGGAGAGAGGAGTGGCTTGGGGAGGGGGGGGGGGATTTCCGTGCGATCAATCTCAATCTCTTCAAGAGACCAAACATGTGTTGATCTAGTTCTGTGAATCGTGTCGAGTTATCCAAGTGATGAATCAGAGGCAGAATCAGATCAAACCGACTGGTCGTCTTATCTCATGATCGGTGTACGGCCGTTCAGTAAACAGTTGTAATGGGTCAGCATTGAAACAGTTTGTTTGGTGAGAGTGCAGGCCACACCGCTAGTCCTAAAAAATGTATCATCTAAGGGAAATAGGATGTAAACATTATGTTGTCACGGGACACGATGTAAACTGAATGTTGTCATAGGATACGATGTAAACTGAATGTTGTCATGTTTAGGCTTAAAAAAACAACAAAATTATTTTCATCTGGAGTGCATGCCACACGCCTTAAACATGTATCATCTTGGGGAAATGGGATTTAAACATAGTGTTGCTATGGGATACGATGTAAACATGATGTTGCCATGGGCTACGATGTAAACATGATATTGCCATGGGCTACGATGTAAACCTGATGTTGCCATGGGATACGAAGTAAGCCTCATACTGATGTCGCTATGGGACACCATGTAAACATGGTGTTGCTAAGGTGTAGGCTTAAAAACGCGTTTAGAGTGAGTACTTTTTAAGCACTGTATATGCCGCACGTGAGCTTGAACGGCTTTTGAAAAAGTTTTACGGGCGTAACGTCAATTTTTAGGGTTCAAACTGTGACTTGTAGGCGGGGCACTTAAGTTGTCAAAGGGTCACACTGTGAAGTATTAATCCCCCACCACCACCCCCCCCCCAACCATCACTTGTAAAAGTAAATAAAACTAACTCGTTTTAAATTTTGAGGTTAAAAAAATCAATCACCAGTGCTTTTTTTTTTCTCTCATTAAAAAACAAATTTTTCAATTGAGGGGGATAAAGCCTCCTCATAAGGGTCCAGTTGGACGTTCTGTCTCACCTGATAGGTATCTGTTAAAAACAGGGAGTGAACGCACAACACGAGCCGAAGTATTTTCGTGTAGGCGCCCGTTACGAGATTCCATATTTAAGAGATATTCAGAAATGCTGTACTGTAAGCGAGGCAGCATCTGGTGCATCTGGTCACTAAACAGAAGTGACGTTGTCATGCGCATCACTGTTTTCCTCTTCCCTGGTTAGTTTAACAATATGGTAGTATGCCCATTACGCATAGTAAGCGTACATACGACCATTGTGTTCAAATAACATCATGTCTTTAGAAACATTGTCCACTCAAGCCATGAAGCAGCTGGTGGGTTGTTAACTGAAGATGAAATGCAAAATTTCTTATTAAATATTTTAAGTAGAGAAGAAAAAGGTACCGTTCCATAAGTCGTCACTATAGTTTTATCCTACTCACAAATAATCCCAAATACAAATAATCACAATCACATGTAATCCCAAATACAAATAATCCCACTCACAGGTAATCACAAATACAAATAATCCCACTCACAGGTAATCCCAAATACAAATAATCCCACTCACAGGTAATCCCAAATACAAATAATCCCACTCAAACGTAATCCCACTAGGCCCACCCTCTCCACACACACACCAAAACTCCAGAAAATCTATTATTTATTTTTAGCAGTCTACATAAGTTTTCATCTTACACAAAGGATCTAAAGATGTTAATATTTTTGGAAAAGTTTTAAAAGTTATGTTTTTATGAGCGCCTGTAAATGTAAGTCTAAGATTTGTTCTTAATCATCGATTCAATGTATGGTGCGCATTGGTCATTGGTATTCGGAAGATGAAAAAAAAAAATCAGCAAAATAAACTGTCACATTTTGATTTATAAGTGCTGAATGGAAAATTAATTTGTAGTTTTTTTAATACGTGTTTACATAATTCTACCGTGCTGTGTAAAAAAAAAGTTGACAAAAAGTCTATATGATAGCAATTATGTTAACATTGCACTTCAAACTACTCCTCAATTTTGATAAGGGAGATAATCTTGACATAAGAAATGTGGTCTTAACATACTCCACCAGTGAGTCCAACGGCTACAATTTAGAAGAAATTTCTTTGGTCGATCTCAAGTAAATTATCTTTTTTTTTATTTTTATGTTTTCTACAAGTTTACGTCAATAAACTAAGCAGTGGGAGTTTCTTTTAGTTTCTTATCGCCATCTTTTAGAAAAAGTTGAGGCCTCCTTTATATTGGGTAAACCTATATAAAATTAAATACATTGACATGTAGGAGTTACGTTTCCATAAACATTCTTCCAATCAACAGTCGAGTTGCCTCGCACTAAGTTTGTTGTTTACAAATGGCGGAATCAATCTGAGTAGCTAATGTTACATGTATGAAAGCTTTGGAACACGCGTTTAAAGTTAAGCACATTTTGAGCAACATATAAAAATTATTTCACTGGAACATACTTTAACTGTCTGATCAATGAGTATTAACAGTTCTTCTGTAATGGTGAGAATTTCGATACAGATGATAGGAATAGGCCTAAATTTAAAATGTCATAAAATTATAAGTTAAAAGTACAACAAATATCACAATGTGACCGTACTGAGTAATCTTAATCGAAAAAAGTTTTAAAATTGATTGTAATAAATATTAAAAGAATCCATTTTAATATTTGTAATGCTATAATCAATTTTAAAACTTGTTAAACGAAAATATAAGGCAAGGCAAATAATAATGAGGCATAACTTTTAACTTTAAATTTAACCAGAGTCACTTTCAATTGTAAATAGTACAGACTGGTAAATGAAAATATGTTTTAAAGTCATTAATCATTAATCACCTTTCTTCATTTGTTTATAGATTAATAGTTCCTTAAATTTGTGCAGTTTTATATCCTAATTACCAGATGCCGTCTGAGAAGTTTTAACATTATATTATTATATTCTTTTGGAATATATTCTGATGGAAGCATTCATAAAAAATTTGATGACATTAATTTTAAAACAGGATTATATCATGAATCATACACAGCTAGTGGACCAGGAAGAAGAGGGCAGCACTTGTTTTATTTATTTGGAGGGGTGGCATTTTTAGCCAACTGCAGAGTTTTTTTCATGGATGAGTCCTGCCCTGGGCGGTACTAACCCTAGCTATGCCACTGTATATAACTCTCAACTCAAGACTACTGTCATTAAACTTTTGCTGATATTTTCTAACAACAATGAATCCAGACATTGAGACCAATGCTATCAAAATACAAACTGGAAGTAGATGTTGAAACAATCATATCTATTTTAGAGCTTAAAATTAACAAGGTAAATAAGGGGAGAGACTGGAATCAGGTTAGCACAATAGTAAAACAAAGTAAGGTTAAACCTTAAAAAAGGAACGCAACGAAATATTGAACGTGTCGGCAGGAAGCCTTCGTCAGCAAACAAACAGAAAAAACAGAATAGAATAAAAAAAATTTAAAAGCACTTAGCTGAGAAGTAGTATCCAATAGGGCATCAAATTCATTATATACCCTATTGAATACTAATTCTCAGCTAAGTGCTATTTTTTATTTTTATATTTAAATCTGTTTGTTCGCTGACAAAGGCTTCCTGCCACACGTTGATTGTTTTCTTGCTTTCCCTTTTTTAGGTTTAACCTTACATTGTTTTACTAATTTCCTATTAAAATTAACAAGAATACACATTTTTTTGGGATTCATTACCAATCCAAACATCATAATGAGGTGAAAGGATTGGTGGCTTGCAAAAATAAATGATTTAAATATTAATAATTAAAGCACAGTTCATTCATCCTCTGTGCTAAAAAGCAAGGATCAACGGGCTGTGTGTTGTTTTAATATCATGGTTGTTTATTTGCTATTTCTCGATTAAACTTTTTAAGGGCTAATTTTTAATTAGACTTTTACATAGAAGAGTGATACTTCATTGTTTATGAGCAAAGCCAAGGTTTATTTGTTGTCATTTGAAGCATTATTTTATTAATATTCTTCATTGTTTTTGTTTTTTTTGTTGCTAAGGCTACCTTAGGTCCTAGTGGGGGGAGTAAGTTTCCTACCTTTGGAAATTTTTTATACTATTTCTTTTGATAGTAAAGTTGATTTAGATTTAGATCCATCCCATAATTCTGATAGTAGTAGTTTCAGAGGGTTTGAGTTATAACAGTGAAGATGATGTATGCCTACATCAAAAGGTTTGGAGAAAAAATGGTTTTGCATATCATGTTTTATTTAAACTGAAGAAATAAGTTTACAAAAATATAGTCCATTCAATTATCTTTTATTTGATACCACATTTAGCCTTGTTAATCAAACAATAATATTTTTTTTAAAATTTAATAAGCCCAACATTTCACTCTTTTTTTTTTTTAAATTAAAAAATTTTCATTAACAAAAATTCCACAGGGAATTTTATTTTGATAGCATTGGTCTCAATGTCTGGATTCATTGTTGTTATAAAATATCAGCATAGGTTTAATGACAGTATTCTTGAGTTGAGAGTTGTGTATAGTGGTTTTCATTTTTTGTGTACAGGATTTTGAATTCAGTGGTTTGGTATGTACGAAAAGCTGTTAAAAAACTAAATAAATTACTTTTAAGCTATTAAAAAATGGTTTCAGAGTAAAAAAAAAATACCCGACCATAATTTAATACCTTTGATGCTGCAAGTTAAATGTTTGCTTGCAATATTTATTGACTTAAATCCAAGGTATATAACCCATAAGTAGTAATTTTTAGTAATCCTACCTACAGAAGCTACCAAAGACTTCAAGGGTCCTAGCCCAATAACTTTGATTTTGTTAACAATGAAATTATAAATGAAAAAAAATCAACATATGCTAAATTGTATAATGAAGATATAGTTGTTGATAGCTATTTAAATTTCTGTTCTCTCCATATAACATTACTACATATGCATCTCTTCAATTATCCTTCATAAAATCACTTATTCAAACACCCAGCGGAAGTAAAAGTCAGTGCCGTCTTAAGGCATGCCTCATGGTTGGGGGGGGGGGGGGGGGGGGGGGGGCTTATAGGGGCATCAAGTTTCCAATATTGTTAATGGATATTAAAGATCTTAAGTCAATTTAATTTGCTTTCAAAGAACAATGGGAAGCAGGTTATCAATTTTTTGTGAACAAGTTTTTCTATTGTACAATAAATTCCACTTTTGGTAATAGTTTCAGAAAATTTCATCAATTTAAAAAACAATTTAGGGATTTGGAGGGAGGGGGTGAAATGTATTAAATTAGATAAAAGAGTTATAAATGGTCATAATAAGTTCATTAATTAATCATTTATTTGATGAAATTTATAGAATAAAAAAAATTCTTAATAAACCTTTAAAGTTACTGAATATTTTGGAAATTTATAGTACTTCAAATTCCCTCAGATAAATCGCATATTAATAAATATAAGATGCTTTTTAAAATAAATCCTATCTTTTTTAAAATAAATCCTATCTTCTTAACATAGTGTCATATCTATACAATTTATCAACAATGACCAATTTTTAAATAGCCAAAGAAATCCATTGACCTTTTCTGCAAAACAGTAACTATTTTTTTTTTATTTGTAACACTAAGAATTATTTAAATTTTATGAAATGCAAACAGGTAATTATTATACTTACAGTTCTGCTTCTTTTTCATTGATCATGTGTAATGTTGTTAGGAGTCCTTTTTTTTCTTTAAATTCATTTATTAATAAAGTAGTGTAAAAGAAAGAAATAGTTTGAATTAAAAAATGTTAAAGCAACATTACTATTGAGAAACAACTAAATATAAAGAGTTTGTCCAAACAAAACCAGACCAAGGGAACATAAATTTACACTAATATCTCTTCTTTTGTTATTCACTTATTATGCATAGAATGGTGCAAAACTAAATTCGAGTATGTGCCAAAATGAATTCCATGCATTTTAAATTTATCAAACTTTTTCTTTTGGTGGGGCTCAATGAGCCCCATCACCAAACCCCATCTTATATTTCTTTCGGGAACCTTTGGGGCCCTAGATTTCTGCTCCCTTGCTAATAAAAGTGACAGGCAACTGTTTATCTTAAAAAAAAAAAACCACTGGATGTTAAAAAATTGAAATATTATTTTCTGCAAGTTAGGTAAATATATAGTTGGACTGTCACTATATAGATTCCAGGGGTGAAACTAAACTACGGCCAAAAACATACAGCAGTAATGAATTTATGTTTATGTATGGCAGCGGATTAAAGAAAATATTTCCCTACTTCCCTATGACAATTGTGTGAAAGAAACTCTGATACTAACAATATTAACGCATGGGCCACCTGACCCAAATGCATTTTCTAACATCACTTGAATAGTTTAGAGACAAATAGGGAGCCCTCAGTGCATTATTTTTCCCAGGACCCCAATGTTGTTGAGGCAGCCCTGGTAAAATTAGCATATTAATCTATGAGAGCATGGAATTAGTTAATATGAATGATACCCAAATGAAACAAAATAAAGAATTATTATCACTTAGTTGATTAATTAGGCCATCAGTCTATTTCAAAAGCTGAAATATTAGCTAATGGTATAAAAGAGTTACGAAGTAAATTGTTCCATTCACAATTTTATACTAAAAATTTAATTTTCTTTATTCACAGTTGTATTAAGTGTTCATAGAAATAATCAGCCAAAATGAAGATCACAGTGAAGTATCAAAATTAAGTGTGGTGTGAAAAAAAATATTATTAAAACTATGATGTCTTTGGCTGCTCCCACTGATCGCAAGCGGGTTTTGGATAAGCAGATGGAGAAACTTCAGCAACAACTGGTAACTTTAGAAAAACAAATGCAGGAGCAAGCAGCTCTTCGTGGAAGGCTAGAACAAATCAGTAGCATGGACTCTGCCAGAACGCAGAGAGCACTGGTAAGCATATGATTATAGTCCTTTTCTTCCCCCTGTTAATGGGATAATAAATTCATTCTCTGCATGAAAGATTTTTAATACCTACACAAATAGTCATGACACTTATGATTTTTAGGAACTTAGCCTTGAATGGCATAAATGAAAAATTTGTCAGATGCATTCAATCTGCTAAAAACAACACCATTTTACTGCACTTTCAACAGGAGATGGAACACATTTAAGAGTAATCATCCACACAAACCCCCCCCCCCTTTTGTGCACTTAATAATAAATCCTTGCTTCTCTTCTGGCTGTGAATGTTGAGCAATTGGAAAAATGTCGATTATCTAATGCAGTGGTTCTCAACCTTTCCGATGCCGCGACCCTTTAATACAGTTCCTCATGTTGTGGCGACCCCCAACCATAAAATTATTTTTGTTGATACCTTATAACTGTTGAGTGCTTGTGTTTTCCCATGGTCTTAGGCGACCCCTGTGAAAGGGTCTTGCGACCCCCAAAGGGGTCGCGACCCACTGGCTGAGAACCGCTGATCTAATGCATATGAGTATATTGATTGATAATGAAAGGGAGGGTCATTTTTTAAAAAATTTCTGCTTATAAGGCGATTGGAGATAACACATAAATAAATTCAAGGATGTTTTCATAAGAGGATTGTAAGAGATGAAGTGTCACGTCTAACTTCACTCACAGTCTACCACAATTTAGTGATCTATCTTATCTATAACAACAGAGGCGTTCTGGATTCAAATGAAATAGTGACTATCCTTTATTAATACACAATCACAATAACAATCACAAATAGTCGTCAATAATTGAACGCCCAGAATAAAGCTTCTCCACTTGACAAAGATATCACTGTATTATTTATGTCTAAATCTTATAGCATAATATTAATAGCATGGGCTTAATAACTGCCATGACTCTATCTTTTCTTCTCTATCTCCATTTCTTATCCGTCCCTCTATCTGATTGGTTCATCTTACCAAGTGTTTATACTCTATCTATTACCAGTGTTAATTCTCAAATTCTTTAACTCCCTTGTAAATCATTATTATCTGTGACATGAAGCTTAAACATTTTAATTTCAATTTCCTTCCCAGGAACGAGCATCCAGCAGCCATAGGACTTTGCAGGGAGAAATAGACAGGATATACCATCATGATGAGAGAAGTAAGTACCAATGGAATTACATGTTCATTAAGCGTGTACAATAGTTTTCTGCCAAAAGACTGGATGGGCAGTTTCGCAGATGACTGAATTCCAGAGGCTTTGAATTTCATATGTGAATGATTATATATAAGTTAAACATTGTTTGAGGATCATTTTTTGACATAGTATGCATCGAATGTAATGCAAAGACATCTTTTTAAAGTGTCACTGACACTGTGTTTTGATTTAAACAGTGAAAAAATTGTTACTCTCTTTGTTTGAATCATTACAAGTCACAAATCAATATATTATCTTTTAATTATACTATATTGTAACAATTTTTTTTTTTAAAATTGAAATTATTAATAAAATTAAATAAAACCATAAATTAATTGATGTTATTTTATTTAAAACCTTCTTCAGGCCCAAGTCCAAGGTCCAGAAAAGCTTTAGAGGAAATTATTGCTATCAGAACTATTGAATTTCAACGTTCTCAGGCAGAAAAAGCTGCTAAAATTCAGTAAGTAACCCATTTCCTCAAATATTTTTGTTTTATACAATGAAATGAGAAGTAAAGATGACATCCAAAAAGTACCCAAGTGTTTTAACAAGTTAGTAGCTTATGACATCAATAATTGACAGCTGCTGTTTAAAATTGAACCATGTGATCATGCCCTCCTCTAAATGTGACTATCTTCTCCTCTAAATGGGACCATTCCCTCCTCTAATGTGACCATCTTCTCCTCTAAATGTGACTATCTTCTCCTCTAAATGGGACCATCCCCTCCTCTAAATGTGACCATCCCCTCCTCTAAATGTGACTATCTTCTCCTCTAAATGGGATCATCCCCTCCTCTAAATGTGACCATCTTCTCCTCTAAATGTGACTATCTTCTCCTCTAAATGGGACCATCCCCTCCTCTAAATGTGACCATCCCCTCCTCTAAATGTGACTATCCTCTTTTCTAGATGTGACCATGCCCTCCTCTTAATGTGATCACCCCCTCCTCTAAATGTGACCATCCCCTCCTCTAAATGTGATCACCCCCTCCTCTAAATGTGACCATCCCCTCCTCTACATGTGATCACCCAGACCACCCCCTCCTCTAAATGTGACCATCCTCTTTTCTAGATGTGACCATGCCCTCCTCTGAATGTGATCACCCCCTCCTCTAAATGTGACCATCCCCTCCTCTAAATGTGATCACCCCCTCCTCTAAATGTGACCATCCCCTCCTCTAAATGTGATCACCCCCTCCTCTAAATGTGACCATCCACTCCTCTAAATGTGATCACCCCCTCCTCTAAATGTGACCATCCCCTCCTCTAAATGTGATCACCCCCTCCTCTATATGTGACCATCCACTCCTCTTAATGTGACCATCCCCTCCTCTTAATGTGACCATCCCCTCCTCTAAATGTGACCATCCCCTCCTCTAAATGTGATCACCCCCTCCTCTAAATGTGACCATCCACTCCTCTAAATGTGACCATCCACTCCTCTAAATGTGACCATCCTGTCCTCTAAATCTTCACCACCACTTCTGTCAGCCAATTTTGTTATTGCTATGAAGGAAATAATATTGGACTCACCCCTTCTCAGTGTTAGTGTTAGAGGAATTTAATGACATATTAAGCACACAGTTTACATATTTGTTTTATTCAGTATGCAAATTGTATGCACATTGTTTCCACGTATGCACATTGTTTCCACATTTTATGCACATATGCTAGCGGTGTAGCCTAAGTTTTATTTATATATTGTTCCAGACAGCTGGCCCAGGAGAGGCTCAGAATCCTGGAAGCAAGAGATCGACTTAAAGCAAAGCATGAGATGTTCCGATCCCTCCCCTCCCCAATTGGTAAGGCTACACACCGTGCATGGGGTCACAAATACTCAATATACACACCTATGCTCTATCAAGATGGCACCCAAACGTACACCCCGGTATTCCAAGATGGCTATTACACATATTTCCCGCGGTCCAAACGCCGTAAAAGATGGTTCAACAGCAACATCCTCTTTGTGCCCACACCTTTATTTCACTCTTTTGATTAGAAGGTTTTCAAATAGATGCTGCTGGTCAGAGGGTCTTAAAGTTTTCTTGACACTATTGGTATTTCTGCGACTGAAGTACCCTTCCTTAAAATAAAATATTTTCTAAAATAAAGAAAGTTATAGGTGTGTATTTCTGCCAACGGTAAAAAAAAGTTAAGGAGTGTGTGGAGCCCAGCTCAAAACAACAATGTGTCATTGTCATCCGCAGCCACATTTAACACGGATGGCATCCACACCAAAGTGAACCCAAAAAACAACTACATCCACAGACACCTGTATCCACTTAAAAAACACCCGCTTACGCAAAATCATATTCACTAACAAAAACATTAACAAGGCACCCACATCCACTAATTAACTCATCCACAAAATTAACTCATCCACAAGTAGCGCCTACCACTCTCTAAGTGTTTTGTCACACCATAGTAATGGGCTTCAGACTTCTGTCACTTCCAGTACGTTGCACTTCCTACCAGCTTCATATTCTATTTAGGCTTTAGACATCTCTGTTTGAGATCAAATTATTTCCTATGGTTGTTGCCTACAGTTGCCATAGGGTAACCTTTGACCTGAATAGTGAAAGGATTCATTGGTTGTTTTGGCCATGGTGGTTTATTCTTAGTTATCCAGTAGCAACAGAGCTTTGTTTTCAAGAACCTATTCAAACATTGTATTCCTTTCAATTTTTCCCCAAATAAGTTTGTCTTTTTAAACAAGTTGATAAGTTGTTGTAAAACATTTAATGTTGATAAGTTGTAAAACATATAATGTTGATAAGTTGTAAAACATTTAATGTAACAGTTTTGGCCGCGTTTTTGTTTCACATATGTATCATGATCTGAATGATATCCTTGATAACCTAGTTAGTTGTGTCAGCCTTTCACATATGTATCATGATCTGATTGATATCCTATTTTGTTGTGTCAGCCTTTCACATATGTATCATGACCTGAATGATATCCTTGATATCCTAGTTAGTTGTATCAGCCTTTCACATATGTATTAGCATGATCTGATTGACATCCCTCTTCACTATTTGTTAGTTTTGCTTTAGTTTCCCAAACTTTTACACTTCATTTGAATCTTGTTTTCCCACTTGACTCTATAAACAACCAATATTATTTTCAGTTAAATAATAATCATTAAATAGACCTGCACCAAATAAACATGAATCCCTTATAAGATTTTTGTGAGATAATAAGCACTATTGAAGATCATTTTATGACCCAAATGATTAATATTTTAAGGACCATTGCTCACCTAAAAATGTAACATATTGGTAATCATTGTATTAACCAAGGATTTAACATACTGAGGACTTTTGACCTGAAAAGGTAACAAAGTGAGAACCATTTTTTGGGGGGGCTAAAATATTTAAGATTTTTGGGGACCATTGTTTTACATATATACAATATTTGACATGCTGCAGACCACTGTTTTATCCCATGACACATTTCTCAAATTTTTGTTGTCTAAACAAATCACTTGAGCATACGCAAATTTTGTGTATTAAACATGGCTTATCTATTGGTCCTCACTATGCCAATCATGTTATTCAAAAGCTAGCTCAGAAGTACTCTTCAAATATGGCACTGATAAATCATTAGAAAACAGTAAAAATGTGCAAGTAAACAAATGTTATTTTAAAAATGCATCAGTGAGATTTTTAAATTTTCAGTAAGTATTAACAAATAAAGATATTAAATTTTTATCTGAGCTTTGATTTTTGTAACCTCACTATTTCTTTCTCAGTAATTTTTTCAAAATGATTGCATGCCATTATTGTGTAAATGTATGTCATTTGTAACCTCTGTGCTTGTGTAAATTCAGGCCATATCTGTACTATAAGTGTCACTGTTATGAGACAATCAAACAATCCCACTCCATTCTGACACCAGCAGATATATATTTGTCGCCTGCCATTTGAAACCAAAAAATGGATAAGGAATAATCTCTAGTCACTTTTTGTTCTCCCCCCAAAAAATTTTTATTCTCCCCACAAATTTTTTTCTAGTATTTACCATGCAGATAAAAGAAGAAGAAAGTATGAGGGTTGTGAAAGAAAGAACAAGTGTTGTATGAGACACAGAGCTTACGTGGCTGTATATTGTACAAGCTTGTTGTGTCCACAGACACTCTGCTACTTTTGTGCCCCTTCTTTTCACTGAGATCCGTATGCTGATATTGTGGCAGTGGCTGCTGAATTCTATTTATAGGGTCGCTGTTGTGTTTAGAATTTTAAAGAAACACTAGTTCATTATTTTATGACCAAATTAAAATACTAAACTATTAATAGTCTGTTAAACAATGGCAGCAGCAATGCATGACCTTCCCATGATGTAACTTTATAATAATACCCATTACTGCTACCCCCACCCCCAGGGTATGCCATTGCCCCTGGACTACATTAATATACTACTCTCCCATCCCCTTTTAACCCACAGATTAATTAAACCAGGATAAAATTGAAACTATTTTCATAATGCAAAGGAGAATCTAATGCACCAAATGAACTTGCAGTATTTTTAAGAATCTCATTTATGGCAGTTGTCTGGAATTTTATTTTATTTTGCCCTCTACTGAATTTATCATTACACCATACTTTCTTTCATACCTAGAGATTATATTGATGATTTTTTTTTTTTTCATTTTTGTTAAACTTCAAAAGAAATCATCCTCTTTTGCTGCCAATTTATGTGTTACTAAAGATTCTGACATTTGAAAAATTATCTGCTGAACACAAAAATTCAATTAAAATTCTAGTAATATAAATTATCTTAAAATATAAGAAAGCTTAAAATAATGAATTTGAATCCGAAGAACTAAGAAAAATTCATTTAAAATACTTGAATCAAAAACTGACAAATCACCATATGGGTGATGCAAGAAAAAAAGGTCTATGTAATTTATTTTATTAATGTCACTCTTTTCAAAAGTAATGAGTAAATATGTAAAAAAAATTGATCAAAAATTATAAATCGAATTTAATTTTTTAATTGACATTTTTTAACATGAATTTTTGGCATAAAATTTTTTTTTTTTTTAAAGATGATTTTTTATTTTATTTCTGTAGCCTCAGAATGTGTGCCAGGAAGTATTGAATTATTCTTAACTGTACTTCACATCCACATTTTAATAAGAATTTTTTTTTTACCTAATGCATTTGGCCAATTCATTCAGAGACATGGAGCCAAGCTTTTCTTGTTGTGTAACTATTTTCCCCTTGTCCTTTATTCATTGTATCTGCTCTTATAATAAACTTGTACACCATGCATGCAAACAATAAGCAGCTATAGAGTAGACATCAGAAATAAGTTCATAAGGGCGTACGCTTTTGCATTACCCTCTCCACAAGTGTTTATTGAACACTGGTCAGAGATGCCCCACATTGGAAAGAACAATTTGCTTCCACTTAGCCATTTTATTAGATGCATTTTTAAAATTTACTTATATTGTATTGTCAGTATTGAAACTGCATATTGGAGTACTAAGATGTTAAAGTCATTAATGTTGTAGCAATAATTAAAAAATTATATATGTGTAGGTATGTCCATTTGTTTATTTATTTATATTTTCTCTATAAATATCACATAAAAAATATAACACTACATATTATTTTATACATTAATATATGCTATATTTATATATATAAGCATATTAATAACAGTTGTATTTGAGCTGAGGAGGGGAACGGTCAATGTAAAATAATATTTCTTTTTAATGTGTGCATAGACTGGATTTGAAATTATGTTTTGAAAATTAAATTGTTGTATTAATTTTTTAAAGTTTAAGTAAGTCTTTACAATAATTATTTTAAGAACCAGTGAACTTTGGTCTGCCATAACGGAAGGTTTGGGTGGGAAGCTTGACGTGTGAATTGGTTAAATAAGTTCTGGGTGACGCATTAAAAAGAATTCAAGTCTTTTCCCCCTGGTGCTGCAGAGATTAAAAGTGTTTGTAGCTCAAGTGAATAGACTTGGGTGGAGTGTCATACCTTCATGATAAGCTCGAATATTTAGTTATTTCTGCTTGCTTGTGAGGGGGGAGGGGGGTTTTGACAGGTTGAGGAGAAGAAAAATGGGGGCGGGTTGTGGGGGTGTTGTTCAATGGACTTAAGCCAATAAAAATGTAAGAGAAAAATCAATAAAATTGTCAGACAAGTTTTAATGAAAAGAATGTGGAGCTTAGTGGTTTGGTCTGTTTGCACGAGTTCAAAAAATCACTTATTTATCTGTGTGGATTTTTTTATGTTTCAGAATCCACTGCTAAGTGGTTATACCTGCTGATCTATTGATAAATCAAGCCCAGCAGATTAGCAGTCATTAGCTTTGACCATCAGTTTTCTTTCACAACAAATTTCTTTAATCCTATTTTTAATGTACTTGACATGACTAGATATAGTGTGTATGCTTGCGCTTATTATAGCCTCATTGATACTCTCCCAACTATGAATTGTGTCAACTTCTCAGGGAATTGCCAATTTATTCACCAAAATTTTTACCTCCCCTTGTATTTTATTAAATAGAACAAAAGAGTTCTATTTACCTGCCCTTCACTGATTTTGTTTGTATAATTTATGTACTTGCCCTTGACCAAACTCAAAGAAAACTTCAACTGTACTGGAGTCAACAAAACAAATTTCAAATTCTTATACAAGGTTTGCTTTTGAACTTGGTGTGTGAGAGTATGAGACATGGTGGCATTGAATGTTTGAAGCAGAATGGCAAAGGGTAGACATTTAATGCTCATGAGAAGGACAGGAACAAGCTTGGAACTTTATGTAATCAACAGTTATGGCTGGGCTGCTGTTTTTAAATAGAGATTGGAAGCAATAAAATACCTCTCCATATAAATCATTGTTATTATTGGCTTAAGTAAATCAATGTTGCTACCTGCTCTTATACCGTAATCAATGATAACACAGTATTCTTTTAAAAAAAAAATTCTCTCTTCAATAAAGTGTTGATTCTTTTGAAAATGTTATTTTGTTTTAACTTCATCAGATATTTGTTTTTCAAATCATTTTAATAACAGTATTTACACACAGTGCTCCTATTATTTTTTTGTTAGATATATTCTTTAATAATGTAATAAATTAGTTGGATAAACATAAAGAGTTTGTTCAATTTATGTAGAGAGTATTTCCAAGAAAACTTGACACTTGATGTTTTTCTTAATCAAATAATCTAGTGTGCAATTAGCCAAAATAACTTTGTACACCGACTTTTTGCCTATAAAATGTTAAATATGCACTGGAAATGTGTTTCAAATAGTCTTGGTCCAAAGGGACACTACTTGTTAGATTTATCGTTTTTAAATGTTCAGTGTTGCTGCCCTTTATCCTTGATATTGTGTCATATTAAAAATCAATCCTTAATTGAGTAGCATTACTTTGTTTAAAATCTGATTGTTTCATTGCTAATACTTTATTAAGTGTATTGTTTGTTGTAGTTCAAAAAATAATTTTTTGGGCATTCTTAGTTTGCCTGTCCTATAAGTTTGTCAGGAAAGCCATATTATTATGTGCGTACATTTAGGCAACTGGTTAAAGAAAGAAGAAGAAAAAGGAGATTTGTCAGCCTTCATTTAAATTCTCTGAGCTCAAATATTTTAAATTGTCTTATATTAAACCTATAAACATTACCAAAAAAAGTTACAATGCTTGTTCCAGCTTAATGTATGTTTTACAATTCTTACTTTGTTCTAAAACATTCTGTGAACATTGTTCATCCTCTTCTCTGTACCTTTCAGTGTATGATTATCAGGGTATGGCTATTTTTGTCCTTAAACTGATTTTGGGTTGTAGTATTGTTGATATATTTATTGTGCATTTATTTTTATCGCAGAATATTCCTTGTCACCAAATAGTATCTTTATAATGATACATAAATTCTTAACTAGTGTTTCATTTATTATTTTAATCCTTACATTAGGCAGTGAGATAGAGATGAGGACTCCAGGTGTACGTACGCCAAATGACCGTGTTCACTCCACAGACTCATACATTCGGCGAACGCTGAATGATTTACCTGATGCTACAGACAGAATATACAATCTGAGGTATTAAGAAAATAAAATATATTATATTTAAAATACACATTGATGCATTCAGAAACTAATATTTAATCTAATCAGATTTTTATGATTTCTCATATTCTGTAACTTGTGCCTGTGTTACATTTCTTTATTTAAAATTTAAAGTAATCAAAAAATTATTGTTATAATTTTGTACCTAAACTTCTCAAAAGTTATTGTTAGTGTAACACAAATGAAATATAAATTATTATAAATTCAAATGCTATAAATACAAATAAGAGCTTTAAGAATGAATATATATATATATATATATATGTATATTGCATAAATTCAATTTCTTTGTTTTAGTCCATTTGACATGAGATTCTTTATTAATTGAAGTTGAATATAAGAAGTAAAATGTAAATATTCTCTTCATTGGATTCTTATAATAGCTGCTTCAATTGCTGCTTGGTGGGTTAAGAGCTGAAGTTCATCTTTGGTAAAAATATATACTCCCTGCTCCATAGTTAAACCCTTAAGTTACTTATAGTGTTACTGCGTGTACAGGGACAGCCTGCACAAGGATTATGTGAGAACCAAAAGGCCTTATGCTGGAGAATTAGGGATTGAGTCTTATGAACCTAGACAGATCCCAACTTTTCATATGGTAAGTTGTTTTTTTGCCCATATGAATCAAGAAAAATCCCAATTAATTTTTTTTTTGCTTTGATGTGGTAGAATTTTGTTTAGATTATTATTGTGGGTGTGTTGTTTTATATATGTGTGTGTGCGTGTGCTCTTTAATAAATTTGACAACTCTGTCTGTTTTGTGTAGGTGTATGGCCTTGTCAATAACTTAGTGGATGACATCATTCATAAAAATATACCAGCTGACCACAAGGTTTGGAAACAAGGCATCAAATTGTGAGTGAAACTGTCAATATCAACATAGGAACAGTCAACTTATTATGACTGTCAACATATCATTGCATGCCTATGTCTATTAAAATATGGACCATACACTTAGTATGTCTATCAACAGACTTGACAATGTTAAGTCAGCCAGGATGATATATGCTACCAATACAGGACAGCACACGACCAACATAAATTTGTGTGTTTCCAACATGGATTATTTTTGCCTCAACAGCTTTATTTTTAATCTCATGACAAAAATTGCTAGCTGTCTCCCGATTGCTGTGCCTAAAGATTTTTACCACCCCACCTCGCTTTATTTTACTAAAGGGAGGATTCCACCAGCTTTTTATCCATAGTTGGGGATGATTAATAAAAGATTTCAAACTTGGCAGTTCTTTGTGGAGAGGCAGGCAATGATGCCATTATACCTAAAGCCTACCTACATTACACTGAAATTTGTGACATAAACAGACACGTATCACAGATGTATTACATTGAAATGTGTGACATAAACAGAGATGTATTACAGATGTTTTATATTGAAATGTGTGCCATAAACAGACATGCACCACAGCTACATTACAAGAAGATTACTTCATCATTGTCTCTAGCAACTATAATTGACACTTGTGTTGCCTTTCCCTGTAGGAAAATGTTAAATGAGAAAGAAAAAGATTGGCAAAAAACTTCAAAAGCTTTGGCAGAAACAGCATCTGTCAAGCTGGTGGCAGAGGAAATCATGCTGGAGGTATGTGTTTAATTAAGTGTTTAATGATGGATCTATGTGTTTAATTAATTGTTTAATAATGTGTTTAATTAAATATTTAATGCTTGAGGTATGTGTTCAATTAACTTTTCAATGATGGAGGTGTGTTTTAATGTTTAATTAATTGTTTAATGATGGAGGCATGTGTTTAATTAATTATTTAATGATGGGGGTGTGTGTTAAATTAATCATTTAATGATGGAGGTGTGAGTTTACATAATCATTATGAATGAAATTTTTTAATTGGGTTTGATTGTGTTACTTTAGTTTGAAATATCTCCGAAATCTTTGAGCAGAAATTATTTAAAAAATAGACTTTTTAAACTACAAAGATATGAACAGGGTGCTTGATTCAATTTTTCACTATTTTTTAAAGTTATTATGGTATTTAAATGGGATTTTTAACTTCATAGTAAACAAGTTGTAATTAATGAATGATTGGTCTCAAAAGCCAGGAGAGTCAAGCTGATTTTATGTCATCCAAACACATCCAGGTGACGGGTGCAATGACAACAACTGTCGCCAGTGACAGCCTCCACCGGGATTTAATGTACAAGAAAATGTCGTCCAACATGTTCATGAAGGAAGCTGAGGTGAGAATTTATGCAAAATAGGATAGTCTCTCTTTTCAAACATTTGATCAAATCTGTAAGGGAGTGGGCTACTGCGTATTAGGGCCAGTGGGGTACTGTGGATTAGGGCCAGTGGGGTACTGTGGATTAGGGCCAGTGGGGTACTGTGGATTAGGGCCAGTGGGGTACTGTGGATTAGGGCCAGTGGGGTACTGTGGATTAGGGCCAGTGGGGTACTGTGGATTAGGGCCAGTCAAGGTACTGTGGATTAGGGCCAGTGGGGTACTATGTATTAGGGCCAGTGGGGTACTGTGGATTAGGGCCAGAGGGGTACTGTGGATTAGGGCCAGTGGGGTATTATGTATTAGGGCCAGTGGGGTACTATGTATTAGGGCCAGTGGGGTACTGTGGATTAGGGCCAGTGGGGTACTATGGATTAGGGACAGTGGGGTACTATGTATTAGGGCCAGTGGGGTACTGTGGATTAGGGCCAGTGGGCTACTGCATATTAGGGCCAGTGGGGTACTGTGGATTAGTGTCACCTGTGGCAGGCCTATCCCCTACCACTAAAAAAAAACTTTGCTGTAGGTCAAAATTGCAGCCCCTCTTTATAACAGAAAAAAACAACATCTGAGGTGGACTGCCCTCCTTTGCAAACACCTTCCCTGGCCACTGCTGACATTTTCTCCCTTTGTGACATTCTCTCTGTTTGTGAAATTTTCTCTGTTTGTGACATTTTCTCTCTTTGTAATATTTTCTTTTTGTGACATTTTATCTGTTTGTGACATTTTATCTGGTTGTGACATTAAAGTTTATTCCCTTATAACATTTTATTGACCTGTCACACATTTTTTTTTTTGGTCAATCCCAAGATTTAATACCTCTGTCACAAAATATTATCTACCTGTCCAGAGATATTTTAATATTTGAAATCTCTTTGCCAATATCTGCTAGTCAAATCTTGTCATTCTTCACTTTGTCACTTTTCTAATCAAGGTTCAAGCCACTGGCAATATGAATGGGAGAGAACCAAGCGATCCTGCTTATGACATGATAACCCGCACATTTTACTCATTACAGAAATATAGGGATCATTACAAGTAAATTGTGCTTTTATTTTATCTTCATCTCTTGATGATATCTATATATTTTTATCACTCTTCCATAAGAGATACATGCAATACATTTTTTTCCTAAACTTAATAAGAAGAAAATAAATTAATAGCCTGCCAGCCCTACAGATGTAGCATAAATATCCCAATCCAGCATCCCATTTGTGGCCCACATCCCCTGCCAGCACACCATCTGTGGCCCACATCCCCTGCCAGCACACCTTCTGTGGCCCACATCCCCTGCCAGCACACCTTCTGTGGCCCACATCCCCTGCCAGCACACCTTCTGTGGCCCACATCCCCTGCCAGCACACCTTCTGTGGCCCACATCCTCTGCCAGCACACCCTCTGTGGCCCACATCCCCTGCCAGCACACCCTCTGTGGCCCACATCCCCTGCCAGCACACCTTCTGTGGCCCACATCCCCTGCCAGCACACCCTCTGTGGCCCACATCCCCTGCCAGCACTGCATCTGTAGCCCACATCCCCTGCCAGCACAGCATCTCCCCTGGGAAATGTCCTCATTTATTCAGTTGTACATTATGCCGAGACTCCTGATTAAAGCTATTACCAAACGCCTGATTTGTTAGCTTTTAATTTCTTTCTGTCATGATGCAATGCAAATTGAGCTGTAATTTTTTTTATTTCTCCAAAATTAGATTGTATTTCAATGTCTCTTTAAACAGAAAAAATATTTGGTCCCACTCTCAAATAATGAGGCATCCCACCTCGGCCCCACCTCTGGTCATTCATCCTGTCACTCTGCCACCCCCGCCCAGCAAGAAAAAAAAGGCCAAGATCAAGAACACACCCCCACCAGTTCCATTGTCTGTTCCACAGCCCCAGGCCATGCTTGACAAGTAGGTTCAGCTTTCGGCTGTTAAAATAGTTAAGATTTTTTTTTTAACATTCTTTAATCAGTGGGGCTCATATTATAACCTGTGTGTCTGGATTGTTGTTTTTCAGCAGTGGGGGGGACTGTGTTGTGAATTCTGTACCTGATAATTTCTATTGTAAAAAAAAAAATGATATTGCAACAAATAAGAAATAAAAAGCTTTGCAATTTAAAAAGAAATAAAACTTACAGCAGAAAATAAAAAGGTTATCAATGTTAACAAAAATGATAATTAGCAAACAAAAACAAAATAAAATTTGTACTCTCATTGTTTTAAAGAACTAAATAGAAGGCATTGTTTAGCCACTTGGAGTCAATTGATTTCAATATTTCTAAATTAATTTAAATGGATAAAGATTTGTGAAATTTACTGTAATCTCAAAATTTTTAAATGATGTAGTTTGGAGGAGGAGCCTGGGCATACACCAAATGAGGTGCATTTCATGTTCATTACATTTTATTTCATAGTTTCAGTAGGTTTATAAAATTTGAATTTAAAATAAAATCACATACGTCCTATTTGATGGCCTATTTGATGGCATATATAATGGCCTATTTAATTACCTATACCTATTTCATTACCTATTTAATTACTTATTTAAATACCTATTAAATGGCATTGGATTTTTATAAATGGATGAAGCCAAACATAAATTGTGTGTGTTGATCAAATATGTTATCGCTATTATGAGTTTACAAGTAACAAAGTAACAGAAAGATTCAACATGATATATATAACAGAACGGTTATGTAACACTTACAAAATGGTTGCGCAAATTAATGCTCCTTTGCTGTGTTGGTTGTGGCCTTGACCTTGCTTAACCTGCTTCTTGATTAACCCTGAAATTGTTCCACAGAACTGCTGACTTCTAGCTCACCACATGACTGAGATAAGTGACTTTCTACTCTGCTGACACAAATGTTTTGCATGAATTTAGTTTGATTGATTGATAGATAGATTTGTTTATTTTCCATTGCAGATTATAATGTACATGTAGATGTGTTATTAAGAGCCAAAAGGGCTTTAAATATTATTAAACAAGCACTATTTAGTTCCTATTGGCTCGTTAAGACTTGCTGTTACTTAAAGTTCACATGTTGTCTTCCAATTTAAACTATCATCCTAAGAACTTAATTTCCTTCAGAGTTTAGCGAAATGTCTAACACTAATCTGACTAATGTTCACTTAAACATTCAGATTGATCCCTGTGTAAAAAAATTTTTTTTTTAATTGTTGCCATGTCTTGCACTTTTAAAAAAAAAATTCTTTTTTCTTTCTGTTTGGTTTAAAAACGTGTGGCTCTGTTGCTGTGCAGTACTAATACAATAGTGTGCTTCTAATCATCAGCATCCTTGGGGGATATTTGAAGGGGTATGAGGGTGTATGGTAGACTTCACTGACAAGTCGTCGTACCGATCAACAACCAATTTATTCTAGTAAATGTTAAATAGCTTTGTAAATCAGGATTCTATAAAATTTAACATGTCTCTATAATAAGGAGATATATATTTCTGTAATATGTAAAAATATTTCTCCTGTTCTAGGCTTAGATCTCCCCGATGTGATGCCCTTGTTCTAAGCACAACTAACAGACTTAACACATGAATGCAAAATTTTTATTTATTTTTATTAACTAACTCAGGGTTATTTTCCTACTTATTTAAGTATTTCATCATGTCTCATTATTTAACAAATCAATAATACATTGGCAATGGGGATTTATCTTCAGAAAGTGTAGAAAATTTTTGTTTGCTCAACTCAATATTGAAACTTTTAAAAACTAGAAATGAACTTTTAATTTTGTTCACAGATTTAACCCCAGTTATATTTATGTTTACTCTATCTCAGTACTGCACTATTAACCAATGAGAATGCTTCTTTCTCTTCTCTTCCATTCACTAATTCTACTACAAAATTTACACCATACTTTTATCCATTCACTAATTTTACTACATAACTTAAACTTTGGTCTTTTCATTTAAGTAAAGACCTAGAATTAATGATTGAAGTGCACTTGAAATGTTTTCATTGTTTTAACTGGTTTCATCTTATGTAAACATTTTTCAGAGATATCAGATTAATCTCACCATTCACTAAATATATATATATATAAATATATGATATTTAAGGTAAAAAAAATACCTCTTAGTGTACAGAAGTGAACATTTGAATACATAGTGTGAATCTGCATGTATAAATGTAAGGCATTTTAATTTGCATGCAAAAGGAATTCATTATTAATGAATTTAAGTTTGTAAATATTTGTGTAAATTCTGAGAAAATTTCACTTTAACAGAACATGTGATTAGAACTATTGCTTGAAGGAACTTTTGCCTTAATGTTACAATTTAAAAAGGAAAAACAATAAACAAAATGAATAATGAAACTAAAATGACGTGTCTTTGGCTTTTGTATCAAGAAATTAGTTTGTATTTGAAGCAATCCATAAGATTATGTGCATTATTTACTAAATTCCCCAACTTGACCATGATGACAAAACCGGATGTCCTTGGTTTCAGTCAACCACTGGATGCAGACGTCCATCTCATCACTTTTGACCACCTTCACCCAGTGGATCTCAAAGTTACTGAGAGTCAGCCAGGCGAGAACTCTACACTCAAAAACAACAAGTTTTGGACCAACATTTACAAGAAGCGTGAGGCCAAGTATTGGAGTGTAAGTTGTATCTTTTAAACTGTTTAGGTTCAGTTTAATATTGTTAGAGTTAAATTATAATTTTCAAAAGTTAATCTGTGAGTTCAGGGAAAAGTATATTTTTTCTACCAAAACTATATATTTAATATATGTTCATTTCTTACAACCTGGGCGAATCAATTTTTTTAAAATTATAATTTTAGCTTTAAATCAAATAAGGTTCATCCATGAGATTTTTTCAGCCAGAGACCATAAAATTGTGTTCCATGGTTAATTTTACCCACACGCTTACGTTTTTCTTACAATTTATTCCTCCAGAACTTGAAGCCTCGCATATTTAATATATCTGTAGCTAGGCATTGCCAGGGAGTGACTGTTGTGTGCCCATCACCTGATCACATGCAACTGGCTGTAGGAACTACTAGTGGTATGTGATTTCTGTTTGTAATCTTAGTCTCTCTTGTGCATTTGGCTAGAACTAATGTCCACATAATCATGTCTGATCTCCTTTTTAAAGGATAAGAAATGGAGCCATGCAATGTGGTTTTCAAGCCTTCTTTGTTTTGTTATTGTTATTAGATCGTTTATTAAATCAATGCTGAAATATTCTTGGTCCCAGGTGATGTCATCATCTTTAACACACAAGTTGAACCCTGGTCACCCGTAAAATTTGATGTCGGCCAAATTGATGATGGATGTGTGGTACACCTGGCGTGGTCATTGGATTCATCCAGAATCTGTGCAGTTAAAAAATCGGTAAGCAAAAAATGCACTTTTTCTCAGACATCCAGTGAATAAAATTCTCTTTTAATAAATTTAGCTTATTATGGCATTATTCACTTAAAATAAAATACATGGAGAGAAATTTTAAAATTGATATAAGTAACTTTTATAATTATTGTCGGCATAATCAGGTCTCATTTTTGTGTTTCTTTTTGTGGGACTATACACATATCATACAAATAAAATTAAATGTGATAAAATAGATCATCTTTTATGCAAATATATGTAATCTTTAATATGTAAGTTTTATTATTATAAATAATAAATAATTTTAATATAATAATTTAAAAGATATTTTAATTATTATTTGAATTTAAGATTTAAGATATTGTATAAAGTGTTACATTTTATTTAAGATACATTTTCAGTTATTTGAAATTTTCAACCTGTAGGGCTCAGTCTGTGTGTGGTTGACCAGTGGCCGACCAGCCAACAAAGAACATCTCAGGCGACTGGAGCTACCCAGCAATGACGTAAAAGCACAACCCTTCTCGCTTATTCCCTTGCATGTATTTTATGCAAAACAAGGGGACTTAACTATCACTCAAGGTAGGAAATCTCTTATAAGTGTTTGCTGATTTGTTTAGTGTACATTGAGTCAGATTTAAGTCAACTATTCCCTTTTACTGATCAAATTCTTTTTTTTTTCATTATAGCGTGTACATAATTCTTCTGTATCTTACGATGTCCCAAACAGGTTCATTGGTAGATCAAGGGACACCACAAGGATCCAGTGGATCATTACAAGGAAGATCACAAGGCCAGGAACGAGCTGTACTTGCAGTTTTTTTTCCTTCCCTCACTTTTTTCCAAACTCAGGTATGTTTGCTCTACACTCTTCGGAATGGTATGTTTGCTCGACACTCTTTGGAATGGTATGTTTGCTCTGCATTCTTCGGAATGGTATGTTTGCTCTACATTCTGGGAATGGTATGTTTGCTCTACATTCTGGGAATGGTATGTTTGCTCTACATTCTGGGAATGGTATGTTTGCTCTACATTCTGGGAATGGTATGTTTGCTCTGCATTCTGGGAATGGTATGTTAGCTCCACATTCTTTGAAATTGTATGTTTGTTTTAAATTCTCTGGAATGGTATTGACTAATTATAAGAGTGTGGGACTGCGATAAAAAGCTTTCAAGTAGATTAATGAGTCACAAAAAATGTGTGTAAATAAAATAATATAGGTTATCTGTAATAATAGTTAGACTAATTATAAGAGTGTGGGCCTGGGATAAACCTTTCATCTATTATTAAAGCCTAACCTATATTGTTTTATTGACACAAATTGTTGGAATGGCATGTATGTTTATTTTGCATTATTTGGAATGGTAAGTTATACATACTTTGGAATGGCATGTTTGTGAATGCTTAAGTTTTGCACATTTCTGATACATTTAAAAGTATAGTATTAAATAAAATATCTATATTGTATCTTTAAAATCATATCATGAGATCTCAGACCCATTCATCTGTAAGCTCAACCCCCACCCCTTGAACCTCTCGTCTAGCACTCTATCTGTACAGCCCTCAATATGGGAGATGTCCTAAAACTTGACCTTGAGACCCTCTACGCCAAGGACAACTCACAAAAATCACCAGTGCTGTTGAAGCCTAAAATTGAGGTAAAAAAACCAGTCAACATTATTTACTGTGAAGGAAATATTTTAATTTTAACAATGTAACACTAGGGCAGACAGAAGTCAGCTTAGAGGAAATTTGGAAATAGTTTTGTTCCATATTTTTTTTTCTACTTTGACATTTCAGACAAAAATGGAGGTTCCGAATCTCGTCCGCCAAAAAATCAGGGCAGAACTTTTGAGAGAACACAGAAGTCAGATCATTCATCTCGGTTTTATAGGGAACATTGGTAAAATGGTGACTGTTGACAGAACTGGTTTTATCTGCATCTGGAAATATGACAGGTACAACTTATACAATGTAGTTAACTTACAGTGATATTAGCTGGGGGGGGGGGTGTGCAATCAGGTCAGGTAGAAGGACATAAGTAGAACGAGATAGGGGGAAACCTGAAAAAAGAAGCAACAAAACATCTAACATGTCAACAATTTAACTTTTTCAGGGAACATTGGTAAAATGGTGACTGTTGACAGAACTGGTTTTATCTGCATCTGGAAATATGACAGGTACAACTTATACAATGTAGTTAACTTACAGTGATATTAGCTGGGGGGGGGGGGGTGTGCAATCAGGTCAGGTAGAAGGACATAAGTAGAACGAGATAGGGGGAAACCTGAAAAAAGAAGCAACAAAACATCTAACATGTCAACAATTTTACTTTTTCAGGGAACATTACAAACAAAGAGTAACACAATTATAAAAATTTAGCTAAAATGTAGTATCCCAGAGACAAGAAATGGGAATGTAGTATCCCTGAAACCTGCAAGGGATATGTAGTATCCCAGAGACCAGCAAGGGTAATGTAGTATCCCAAATACCAGCAAGGACAATGTAGTATTCCAGAGACCTGCAAGGGGAATGTAGAATCTCAGAGACCAGCAAGGGGAATGTAGTATCCCAGAGACCAGTAAGGACAATGTAGTATCCCAGAGACCTGCAAGAACAATGTAGTATCTCAGAGACCAGCAAGGGGAATGTAGTATCCCAGAGACCATCTAGGGGAATGTAGTATCCCAGTGACCAGCAAGGGAAATGTAGTATCCCAGAGACCAGCAAGGGTAATGTAGTATCCAAAATATCAGCAAGGACAATGTAGTATTCCAGTGATCTGCAAGGGGAATGTAGTATCCCAGAGACCAGCAAGGGGAATGTAGTATCCCAGAGACCAGCAAGGGTAATGTATCCCAGAGACCAGCAAGGGGAAGGTAGTATCCCAGAGACCAGCAAGGACAATGCCAGTAAAGGGAATGTAGTGTCATAGAGACCAGCAAGGGGAATGTAGTATCCCAGAGACCAGCATGGGGAAAGTAGTATCCCAGAGACCAGCAAGGACAATTTAGTATCCCAGAGACCTAGAAGGGGAACGTCTTCCTACATTTCAACTGCTTTTTTTTTTTTTTCATTTTGTAACTGTTTGCGCTTCTTACTGACAAAGCTTTCTTGCCGAAACGTTCGTTGCTTTGTTGTGCCCTCTCTTCAGGTTTTCCCCAAACCTGCTCTACACATATTTCCTAGTTAACTTACAGGGGTTCCCTATAGGAACTTGTTACCCAGTAGGCCTACACTTTTGTTAGCTATTGGGGGCTTATAATATCCTCTTATAAAATTTGACACATTTCAGTAAAATCAAGTCTGACCCCCCGCCCCAGAGTATGAGAAGTCAAGTATATCTTTCCCATTGTTACAACTTCAATTATGTCAGTATAATTTGAATAATGCATAGAGCTATTCTTTAGTCTTCTATTTTGTCATCACTTTTTTTTATTTCAAATGCTTAACATTCTTTCCTTTAGGACTTTTTTATCTGGATTTGACTGGTTTTTACCAGAGAAGAAATTTAAGCTTAATATGTCCAAAACAAGCTATGTACCAGCAGGTGATAACATTGCAAAAGTGAGTGATTGCCCTTTAGTTTGATATAAATGAACATTTATTTAAAAAGTAATTCATTGTTACAAATAAAAAATGACAATAAACTTGTTACAGACCAGACATGCATTTTATAACATTGTATTATTTATTATTGATCCTTTTACATTTCTTACAAGCTGCTTTTGATAATGGAAAATTTAAGTTTTGATCCATCAGGTAGCTAATTTCATGTCATTCATTTCTCTGTGAAATCATTGAGTTTTGTTTACCTGGCAATGCTGTATGTTACAGATTGTGTTCACAGACCAAACTAAATCTGTTCCCAGATCAAAGATAGCTCAAATGAGGAATAAAGGTTTCAAATTTATTTTATGTTTTAAATAACATTTTTCAAACACAATCATAATATCTTGTTTTGTTAAAATAAAAATATGATTCAATCAGTAGATAAGATAAGATATTTTTATTGATTCAAATAAATGAAAATTTGGGTTTTTTCTTTCATGGTAGGCCTACATATTTTTTTTCAGTCCTGAAAATCATTGTTTGAGTTTTTCATTGTTCGTTAAAATTAGTACACTTGATGAATATGACCAGACAAACATTTCACTCTGGGGATGTTTAGACCAAAGTTTATCTATAAATATTATCGATGATTTATTCAATTTTCCATTAAATAAGAAGGCAAACAAAAATTTTTTGTTCATCTTTCAGCTCAACAAGCTCTAAATAAGCTGCAGCTCGGAGACCCTTGGCATGTCAGCTCGGACAGTCGGGGTCTAGATGTAGGTCACAGTGAGCATATCAAACAGTATCATATTTTTTTTATAGTTACATGCCATTCTTTATGATATGAATTTAATCATCTATTTTGATGCACTAAACATTAAGACATTATAGTTTAACTTGTTAGAGTATTGTTTATTTAATATTGTACAGTTTTGTGTCATGTTGCATGATGATAATATGATGCAATCTAGTTTGGTACAGTACAGGTTAATTTGATTTAATATTATTTAGTATATTTTGAAGCCTTTATTTTCTTGTGCTAGACGTACATGTACACACCTCATGGAGGAGCCAGCAACATAGGAGCTATCTTTAACATTGTTGTCAGACATCGAAAGACCCAGCAGTTATCCAAACACGTGACTCGGATGTATAAACCAGTGCAGGTAATAAGTGTCACTTACTTCAACATATTTATTTAAAACCAATTGACTTATACGACAGTACTTAAATTTTGGAATTTAAAAACAAACAAAAATAAACACTGGATAATACAAAAGGCTTTCTAAAACCACTGCAGGTTTTTCCAGATAGCGTTTTTTGTTTTATTATTTCTATTGGTGTTTATGTTCTTACAGGTCAACTGTACACGTCTTATAACAGTCCGGCAAACGCCATCAGGCAATGATTTGGTCATTGTTCTTTTGTTTCCTGCCCACCCACCTAAAGGTCAGTATGTGATCCAAGTCAGCTCTTCTAAACTCCTCGCTAGACAATACAGGAAATCATTTTTTTTTACTCATAATTTTTAAGAATGGTTGTGTGAATAATGGTTCATGGGTTGGCACCTGTTCAGGAGTCTTACATTGCTGGTCCATGGGTCTTACATTGCTGGTCCATGGGTCTTACATTGCTGGTCCATGGGTCTTACATTGCTGGTCCATGGGTCTTACATTGCTGGTCCATGGGTCTTACATTGCTGGTCCATGGGTCTTACATTGCTGGTCCATGGGTCTTACATTGCTGGTCCATGGGTCTTACATTGCTGGTTCATGAGTGTTACTTTGCTGGTCCATGAGTCTTACATTGCCTGTCCATGAAGCACGCTTTAAATTAGGAGATTTTTGCATAAAACATGACATCCACATTTTATATTTGAATGATTCTTTCTTCAAACATATGTTTTATTTTCCCTATTAAACTTACCAATAAATATGTCAAAAGCATTATATTTTCAAAAGCCGTAACAAAAAACTTATTAATGTAAGCTAAAAATATATTAAATAAAATTTATGGCATATTAAAGGTTTAATGACAAGAATAAAAAATAATAAATCTGCACTAGTGCAATGGGAAACATGTCCACTGGCCCACAAAACTCCAAAGTTTGGGGATCACTGAAACATCCTATAATACATTAAGATTTGTTCCTTAAAGTTTGTTTATCAACTGTTACTTCTATTACGTAAGCAGATGATTAGCTCGATAGAAACACATCAGGTCTCTCATACTACTATAGAGAAGAATATTAACCAGAGCTTTTTGTTGTCCCTGCAATAAATAATTTCCAATGTAGATACTGCCACTGTAGACAGATTCAGTTACAAGACTGTTAATGGAGAATGTTAACTTAAATTTAGATTCAATTTGCACCAGGTTTAATCAGGCATGACCAGTAATGATTGTTTTTCAGAATTCCTAAAAACTCCCAAGAAAAAGTTTTTTCAAAATTCCTAACAACTTCCCAAGCCATAGTTTTTGAGTATTCCTAACAACTCCCCAGGCCAAACTCCTTTGGGCAAAAAATGAAACATAAAATAAAATCTTCAGGGTCATGAATAATTTGATTTTGATTGAAACATTGGCCATGAAACTGTTTCATTATTGTTCTGTCGTAGATCCACATCTGACCATCCTGGTGCTGAATCTCCAAACAATGAAACTTCGAGACTTGAGGAAAGATGTGAGCCTGACGATTGAAGAACATAACACACTGAATGAACTGAAAATTCTCTCAGTTGATGTGAGTACTACAGTGTGCTGTATATATTTAATTCACTCCTCACATAGAAATTATGTGCGATGGGCAGCACGCTTTGTCCTAAACCGCTACAGAAACACTTCAAGTGTTGGCAGTATGCTGGACTGACTGGGCTGGTCACCATTGGAGGAACGACGAAGACTATCCAGGCTCTTCATGTTGTACAAGATCAAAAATGGGCTGGTCAACTGCTCGGCATCAAACAGAAACTCACCCATCTTTCCCCTAGACAGCGACGAGGCCACGACATTCAGTTCCGGCTAATAAAAACAAGAACTCAGTACAGGAGCTCCTCATTCCTGCCAAAGACAATTAGGGACTGGAACAAGCTTCCAAAAGCAACAATTGAGGCAGCTACACTTGACACATTTGTGTTTATTGCCTCCTGTCTTCCAACCCCCAGTTCATAACACCACTGCTGAGTAGCCCTTGCACCCAGTGAAGTATCACCTGGAAAACCATGCACAGTAACATCGCAGACCCCTCTGAATCATAGAAGCCAGAATGATCAATTCATTGATCATGGGCCCTCAAAATAAAGAAGAAGAATTAAATATTGTGCATTCACACTTGAACAGTTTTTTATTCTGATATTAAAAGCAACAGCAATATTAACTTCACAAATTTTTTTTTAATTAAATATTTTCCAATACAATTCGTTATCTAAATTATTTTCTCTACAAGATCACTCAAACTTATGGACCAACTGGCTCAGAATATCTCTTTATGACACTGAATGGCCGTCTCAGTTGTATCTCATTAAACACAGGTGCTAAGGTCATGTGCGCTGAAACTTTGTCCAGTCCTAAAGGTAAAACATTATAGATCATGGCAGAATCGCATTAAGCTTTTTTAAAATCTTTTAACAAATTGTTATTGAAACAATATAGCTACTACTAGATATTGATAGCATTGTAATTGAAACTATATAAATATTATATATTTAGCTAGAATATAGCATTGTAATAACTACACTATATTTATAGCATTGTACTTGAAACAATGTAGCTTCTATATATTGATAATTAAAATTCCAGTATAATAATGGATGCATAGCATCTTTTTTTAAAATTAAACAATAAATTAAAATATGATATAAAGTAGCCATATTTAACTTCAAGAACCATTAGAGAAAAGTCTGCTAAAGTATTTGGAGACTATCAGAATTGCATAGTTCAACACCCAAATTGTTTCAGTTATTGTCTTCAGATTTGACTGCAAAAGCAGAAGAGCACTTACATGATTACAAAAACAACTCAACAGGTGTAGACAGATAAAATGCAACCTGCCACACTAATCCAGGATCCTCTAAAGCAGTAACCGTCAGCGTCATAATCTTTTAGGATGAGACGCAAAGATCTCTCAAATATTTTCTTAGAGCTTTCTGATACCACCTTCTTACCAGCGTGTGTTAATTTCTGTGTTGTTTATTATTTTTGGGGGTGCGATTCCATGTTTCCCACAAATGAAATGATCAAATTACGTTTTTGTTTCCAGCTGCTTGTTTCCCTGGGCTGACCTTGGATGAGAGACAGTTCCGTCTGTCAAGGTTCTACAAGGTGACAGCCATGGGCAACTTTGGAGCACTGTTTGCTGTTCTGTTTGAAAGGGTGAATTCAGATTGTTACTTGAGTCACGAAGATTTTAGCAGCCAACTGTGAAAAATATAGAAAAATATATGAATATAATCCTTAATATTTTTAGTCAGTGTTTTGCAATTATTTTTTTAAAATTTGCATTGATTATTATATGCATGTTTCAATTACGCTTTGATTTAAAGGTTCTGTAATAAGATATTCTATTTTAAATATAAACGTATTCATTAATAAGTTTTATCTATGTCATTGAAAAATTAGAAACCTCATGCCATATATATAACATGAACAAAATGGAGTCAAATGGAAGCTATTTAAAATACTGATTGTTCAGTACACTGATTAGATTGTGATGCCAATAGTATTGCCAATAATATTTTATCTTCTTGCAGTCTTCCACTGCTATAAAAGTCATCCGCCTCCATGATGGCAACTTCACTGAAGACACACAACTCATGAGTAAAGCTTTCCAGATATGGTGAGTTACTTCTCTCTAAATTGATTTGTGAAAACCACAGCCACAAAGATTTCTGGTACCCTCATGGGTTGTGGCAAACCTAAAAATATATAATATATATAATCCTTGATTTGAACATTATATTTTTTAATTTAGATAAAAATAAAGTAATTTAAATGTATAATCATTTAATTAGAATATAAAAATAATTTTCCACAGGAATGGTGTTTCCCAATGTCCCTCAGAGCTGCGAGTCAACCCAGTTGAATGGGCCCTCCCAGATATGAAACATAAGGAGGCAGAGATGAGAAGCTTCTTGATGTCTTTACTGCCCCAAAGTGAGGAGATAACTCAGGAAGAACAAATAAAAGAAAAAATTGATAATTACCTGGTTTTGCAAAAGAAGGTAAATTATCTAAATGAGTTGAAGTTGTGTTGCTTTTAATTATAATAAAATAATATAATTTTGTTTAAATTTGTTTGATGACATTAACTCTTTTTTTTTTTTTTTTAATAAAAAAAGGTAGCCATTTTTAATAAGATCTATTTTTAATTTTTTAAAAAAACAGTTTTCATTTTTTTTTTTTTTTTTTTTTTCTTTTATTTGATGAATACCTCTTTGTATTAACAGGTTGATCAACAAGCTCTGCTAGAAAACTTATAACCTTTGGGATGATGCTTCATTCAACTGTAGGATTATCCTTGTTTACTTCTAGATAATCTATGATTATCCCTATAATGCTGTAAGCTAGTCTATGTTGACGGATTATCCAGTCCTCATTCATGTACAAAAAATTTCTGCATTTATTACTAAAATTTGATAAAACCACTTATCTGTTAACATAAGGGTTATATAAAATCATTTGTGTTGAAGATCTGACCTATAACCTCTGCACTTTCCTTTCTTACTTGAATCAAGTTAATTAAATATGAAAAAAAACTTTTACATAAATTTACTTCAGTGGAGTTTATGAGTGATGTTTACACAGATTACTTATAGAGGTGAAAGAATTTACCGTTCTGCGAATATTTCTGTAAATTGTTTGGTGGCACATTTCTATTGTATAAAGCAAAATTTTGAATATTAATGGATTTTAAAATACTGTTAACTATTGTATTTATAATCACTCATTCAGAAAATGTGTTGTTGGTTTTTTTTGTGTGTGTACAGTTGTACAGATTTAATATAATTTTATCATGTACAAATCTTGTTAAATATTCTTTCTACTAAATTAATTGTACATTTTAGTTTTTGTAATAACACAAATAAATACAGTTCACTTTAAGCAATCACTTTTGTCATATTTATGTATTGCATACATTTAAATATTATAATTGTTAAGAATATTATCAATTTCACATGGTTTTTTTCATAAGGCAGTTTCTCTCAAAATGGAGTTTTTCAAATGCCACTTGCTTGCTGATGTAAATTGTGCCTTACTTAATAAGTCTATTTTAATGTTTTATTCCATTTTACCTAAGAAAGAATAAGTTCTATTTCAATGTCCAATAGAGAAGAGAAACTATGCTCTACTTCAATAGTGAATAAAAACTACTTCTAAGTAATGAAACCAAAGCTTTAAAAAAAATGTTTTTTTGCACTGTCAATATTTTACTAATCTTTACTGTACCATACAGATATTTTAATAAATATACCATATACATAAGTATTTTACTGCATTGATTGTTTTATTTGAGGGTCATTTACTTTAACCGCTTGTGTTGCTTAAAAAAATTATTATTAAAATTCCAAAAATTGGATTGGATTTATTGTAACAAAGATATTGTTGAATTTATAAAACTCTATTTGCTCTATACATAAGCCTTCTAAGGTAAATTTTGGATAACATTATTTTTTAAATAGGAAATGTATGTATTATATTACCAACATATTTTGTGTCTATATAAAGACATTTGTCTGCTTTCTTTTTAATACTCATTGCCATAATATTGATAAGTTCAAGAGACAAAATGGACTTTTATTCTGCTATATGAACTACTTATGTGCAATTTAGAATTGTTTAGACTTCATACATTTAAATTTTTGAAAAGCTTTGCAGCCTGATCAGAACAGCTTAATATAGATTTTATTTTCAACATGTAGGAAATATTTACTGAGCTTTAAAAAAGAACTTGCCAAGCTTGGAGCTGAATGTAGGCCATGGGCTCCTCATCTTTTATGCAAAACTTTTGCAAGGTAATTTTTTCAATCCACGAATGCTTGCCTGCAGGCTTATGAAAAAGATTGTACTTAAGCCTGAAAAAAATTCAAATTCATCAAAGAGGAGAGAAGTATTGGCTGCCATTTTTTTTTATCAAAGGCAAGAGGTTATTATTGTGCAATGGCATCAGAATCATTCTGAAGAAAATTGTCTTTCAGAGTATAAATTAAGTGTGCTGCATATTTTTATTGACAGACAGAATGTAATTCGAACTGTGTTCTTTCATAAACGGCAACAGGTAAGGTTCTTTTCTTATCCGTTAATCCCCAGGATGAAAGAAAACTACAAGGTCATCTCTTTAGTCTTTGAAAAGATAAAGTACTTTTTAAAAAAACATCGTTGGGTGATTTGTGTAATAATTGATGGACTGCATTCAAGTTGTGTAAATGAAATATAAGAACAAGGTTCGCTAAACTTGAATAAATAGACAGAACAAAAGATTTGGATGTTTGTGTAAGCTTGATAATTATTTTTTCACAATGGTTTACAAAGTAGCTACATGGGTATTCTTGCATCTCATGTCTTTTGGGTAGAAGAGCCAAACATGCAAAGTTTTCAAGAAAAAATAATCAATTAAGGGTTATTAACACAATATAGAATCAGTCTACTGCAAATATATATAAATATATGCATGCCATATACAAAAAAATTTTTTTAATGATTTAAATAAAGCATTCAATGCACATAAAATTTGGTCTAATTACAGAGAAACTTATAGCTGAAATTTTGATGTCCACTGATCAGAAAACGTATAAAAGACCCACCTTAAATAAATCAATGAATGAAATTGAATGTTCCTGGTTTTTATGTATTACTTTTGTAATAAAACTGTAATACCATCACTTAGATTCGTGTCAAGAGAACCTTAAGCAAAGAATAAAGTGAAAGATTTCAACATAAAAACTGCATTCAATGGCAGCAAGATAGGCCTACCTAGGTAGATCAAATGAACATATTATGGAGATTTTTGTTATCTTATTCAGGATTGTCATGGAAGATCCAACCTTAAGTAGTCTAACGAAAGGAGCTTCATTTTTTAGTAGAATAATAATACAAATTCAATATAAACAGGTGCATTTGGTATAAATGAGCTTTTTTTTGCATGGCGCACTTTTCTTTAAATAATTAATAAAAAGATTCACAGTTTAAAAAAACATATGTTCAATATCTCAAAATCTAGTGCTGATATGGGAAAACTGGTGCCATATTTGGAATCAGCGGGTCAAATTTAGCATAGTCTAACATTTGAGACACCAAATTTTGGGTTGGCCATTGTTACAATTAATAAATTATTGGCATATCTTTAAAAGATATTAGTGTCTTCAACTAAGTTATTTTGTAACAATTTATCAAATAATAAGACAATAATTTAATAATTTTTCTCTTAAAAATATTGAGCTTATGAAGTAGAGAAAACATTTGTAAGGAGGACTTGGGAAGAAGATTAGTATCGTGTTTGAATTAATAGTTTCAAATCTTTTTTTGTCATGTATGATATTTTTATATGTGGTGTTAGCACCCCAAGAGCACTGTGAGGCAGTTATATGTATCGCTCAGAAGCCTCTTCAAAATTCTGAATATAAGACTACTGATTAGTTTCAACAAATTGACTGATGCTTTAATAGAATTATATGAGTGAAATTAAATCCTCGATTCTTATATAAAGGGAGATCATTATGTTACGACATTATTATTGTGATTATCAACCTGGTTGTCATATTTTGTTTAGTGTCGATTTGATATATGATGATTAAGTGTTTATTTTATTAAATAACAAACTTAAAGATTGATAATTTTGTCAAAATCACTCATCTAAGCGTCAGTTTTATAACAAACACAATGTTTCGGGACATTTAAGTGTCCTCTATATGATAAAAGGGAGAAAAGTGGAAAAATAATTGGGTTAATTTTAATTTATAAAATGGTTACCCTTGAAAAGTATGGTCACACCCCAACTACAACAGAAAAAAAGGAAAATTTTGATAATGCATATAACAAAAACGTTTTATCAATATAAATTAACGGGGGGGGGGGGGGAAATGAATGAAATCAAAGGAAGAAATTAATTAAATTAGTATTAATTTATTAGCTTACTCATAACATAATAATAATAGTATAGCCCATCAATGTCGTCTTAAGGTGTGGACACACTGCAGCTTCCCACCGCCCCCACGCCACCAGGAAGCCCCACGCCTTAAGAGCACAGTAAACCGCCCACATTGCCAATGAATACTGGAAGATCTCCGTGCAATTCAATAGTGGAAAGCAGACCCCCAACCCCCTCGAATAAGACCCCCTCAAACCAACCACGCCCCGCCCCAATTCCCATCCCCCAATCACGCCCTGGAGCCCCACCCCCCACAGTAAATCGTCATATATATTTAGGCTTTTAACAATGTAAGAGTTATTTGATGTGTGTCTGCCTGTGCACTGCAAATGTCACTTTGTTAGTACAAGAGAAGCCAAAAGTTGACATCTTTTCACCTGTCATTTTTCTCTTAATCCGCTCCCTAGAATGATTAGCACATCATTGTACAAGGTGTTCAATTAAAAAAAGCACCAACTCATCGGTGTTCAATAATAACTATACCAACTCAAAGTCAGAGAGAGCTTATGGCAACTTATTCTCACACAGGCAATGCATCGATTTAAGTGCTGAATAGTTAGATGATGATGATTTGACTTGTGTGGTAGCAAGATGAAAAATGATAAATCAGCTGCTTTAGACTATGCCCATCAGGGGAGTCATTTCAAGTTTTTTTTCCCAGGGGAAGGGAGGGGGGGGGCAAAAACCAAGACTTGGTCGGCTTGTTAAGTTGTTTATTATTGGAAGCGCCACCGTACACAGCAATTTAAATAAAAACAGCAAAATCGGGGGGGGGGGGGGGAACACCCCCACCCCAACCCAAAAGATGTTCCTGATGCCCATTGTTACGATAGAGCAACACCTGGCTACTCCATGGGAAGATAATAGCAGCTGGAAACTATACTATACTTGTCAGCTATACTGACAATAATCATATTTATACTCCCACAAACAATTATATTTAGTATTTAACAAACTTTTAATTGATTCTGCATTTTAAAATTTATTGGAAAAACTTTTAAACTTGTCGATTAACACGCTAAAGGTGTAATAAAATGTTTTTCTTACAATTTTTTGTTACTAAAAATACATCAGCACAAAGTAAAACGTATTTATAAATTTATTTATATTATATTTTATTTTATTTATTTATTTTTTTTTTTTTTGTGTGGGGGAGAGGGTATACAATATTGACATAATTAAATAGGAGGGTCGTTGAAAGTTTCACAGTTGTTGACGGGGGGGGGGGGGGTAAAAAATTGCGGAAAAATTGTTCACGTAATTAATGGACGACCCCATAGTTGGACATTGCGGGCCTATTAAGCTATTATTTAGATTCCGGGAGCAAAACTAAGCTGAGGCAGAAAGCATACTCTTAGGAGGCGCCACAAATGGAATTAATTTTAATGTTTATGTATGCCAGGGGAGACAGCGTCAGAGCTGTCCTGGGCAACATTATGCCCAACTTTGTCGCAGATAGACCCCCCCCTCCCCCTCCCCAATGAGCCCAATCCCTTTCCCAAACGCCTGCCTAAAAGAGCCCATCCCGCCCACAACCGATGAAATTGTGGTCGTAAAGCATGGGGCAAATTGGGCTCAAAATGCATTTCCTTTTATTACTGGAATAGGTTAGCTGCATACTATAGAAAGGGGACCTCAGTGTAACGTGCCCTATGCCAGGCCATATAAGACCCATTCAAATAAAGTAGGCTACATTATTTATTAACAGTTGAATAGTTAAATAATCTCACATAATTTAATATATAAAAAATAATTTTCGTATTTTAAAGTTTACAATCATATATTTCTGTTTTATTTTCATTGTATTCTTTGCACCATAATACCAAAATACAAATACTACAAATACTAATACTATACTACTAATACAGAATTAACCTTGAAAAGATTTCTCAAATAAGTAGTTTGAAATACGTTAGTATTTATTTGTTTGTGGAAATTTAGCTTAATAACAATGTTACATAGCGTTTGAAAAACTATGCGATCAATAAATATAAATTATTTTACAACAATATTAATAGCATTATTAGAATATTCCGTAAATATATATATATATTTTTCCCTTGAATAAATTTAATTCTATTTGGCACATCTGTGTTTTACAAAAACTCTGGAATACTGTGGACAGATAAACAGATTGTGTTGACAACGATGGCGGCGATATGCAAACTATGTATTACTGCTTTAAAAAGTGGCAAATGTCTACAGCTATTACACCGAACAAATTTTGTGCATATTTCATATAGGAGATATGTTGCATCAAAATCTATGCTGCAAGAGCTTTATAGAGTTACAAAAGCAGCAGCTGAAGGTATTTCAAATGTCATACTACTCATACTCATTCATACACAACTTAATGACTTAATAATACTTTATAAGTTTCACTTAAAAAACGTACCTGATCTCATCACTCAACTGTCAACTGTGATCACTGACAGTGAGTGGTTGTAGAAGACAGTCACCCACCACTGCAGTAAAAATTTTCTACTGAACTATTCAAAATATATAATGAAAATGAACGTAAACAGAAATAGAAATACTAAATTATTTTGAAAATATCTTTAAAAACAACTTTAAACAAGATCACAACTACAACTTACAATTACACCTCAGACAACTGTCAATAAGCCACTATATTTCTCTGATAAACTAAAACAAATTAAACTTGGAATGGAAATTTTTAATTAATTTTTGGCAATCCTCTGAAGTCCGGTCCCAAATTATTTCCAATGATTACTCCTTACTTAAAAGTCTTAGACATCATGTTGTTTTGAAATTCATGTTTGCAGTAGTGGACGATGTTGGATGGAGGCTGTTGGCCGTCGAGATGCACAAACACTCGGCGCATTTTCACTAATCATGTGTTACCAGGGACAGCTATTGTCACCGACGATTTGGTGAGAATGTCAAAATGTTGGTCAGCTCAACAACGGGATTTATGCACAAACTGTCATGTGCATGCGCATGAATTTGTTGATCCAGTAGACCAGGACATTCACACATAAAATATTGTAGGACTTTGGATGCACTCGAAACAAAAACTCTGCTATCAGAAGGGTACTAGTTGCGGTCTGTTTGCCAGCTACTTGGGGGCCTTTCAGTGGTGCAACAGTCACAAGCAGAACGTTTTCGGCTGGTATTTGCAAATGCTATGCGCCAATTACAATATTTAGTATTTACTGACTGGTTTGTAAAGTGACAGTTATTTGCAAAAGCTATGACTGACATGTCTGCTGTTTTCTAACAATAAACACTGTGTGTTGCATTTTTTTCATACGAAATAATTTGGGACCGGACTTCGGAGGATTGCCTAATTTTTGTTCAAGATTTCAAATTGGGCCTACTGGGCTAATTTTAAATTTTCAGGATATAGACCATACTAAGAGTAAGACATTATGTCATTATTAATACATTAATTTAATAAATATTATAACTAATGTAATTTTTGGTAAATTTACGCAATGCGCACCATTTATAATTGTTTCCCATGGCTGCCATCTCGGTTACCTTTCATGCCCTGTGAACTGGTGATGGCAGCCATGGTAGTGCAAACACCTGTCTGCTAAAATGGGGAGGTGAAAGAGAGAGAACGGGCTGCTTGTTGTTTTAGTTAATTACTAGGTACTTTGACAGAAATTTTTATTATTGATATTGTCCTATTGCCTATTGCCATCAATAATAAACCATTTTAAAAGGCTAGCTATAAGCTTTACAAAAATTTCATCTTTCTATCTTTTATGACAATGAAGTTATGAATTTTTTGAACCTCCTTTATCTTTTTATTTTACTGCAAAAATGTGTGACCGACTTTCCAAAATTTCTGACTTATTAGCCCAAAACTTTTTTATTTTACAAGATAATGCTATCAGATTTCAGGAGACATTCTCAATGCAAAATACAACACAATAAACAACAACGATTTTACATAACATCAAGACTTTGTATTTCGGATAATTTTATTTGAGTGTTTGTTAAGAAAAATGATAACAGAATAATTGGAAAAAATACAATTTATAAAGGAAAAAACAAAATAAAGCATGTTTATTGTATTTCTAATTAAGTATATGCTTCAGTTAAATTTTAAATCAATTCTTATATTTATAAAAGGTAAGCAGAAGTCTTTTTTAAAATAAAATTAAATGCATGAAATTACAAGTCAAAACAACCCCAAAAAAAACCACAAGACTATACAAGCATACCAGTATCAGTATGTGATTAAATTTCAAAAGGTAATGGGAATGTTCTGCCTGTCATGTTCTACTTAAACTGCTCTACAGACTTCTTGGTCTTGTTGTTGAATCCCACAATCTCTCCTTCATAAACTTTGAATTTGCCATCTACATCCAAACGTGCCCCCATCATTGTCGACCGATGGAAGGAATTCCACTGAGTTCTTCAATGGATAATTAAAATTTTCTCTTATATCCGAAACAACCCTAGAAACAACATCTAATCATATTAAATCATAATCCTGAATCTACAAAGTTTCTTATTAATATTATTCAATTTTCGTCTTTATTTATTATTTATCGAAACTTATTTAAGAAACTTTTTAGATTTATTATTATTAATGGATAATTAACTGTAATGTCATGTGCAAATCAATGTGGTCATTTATATACATTTGTAGCACCAGTCTCGACATTAAAGATGTACAATAATACACACAATTTCTATTAAATCTATTTATCTATCTCTGATACAAATAAGCTTTGAGTTGTTGTTTTTTCTTCTCAACAATTTTTAAAACGTAATTATTATTTTTTTGGTTAAATTTCTCTTTCCAGAGCAGCAACCCATGCCAGACCAGAATCCTGACGCAATATTTGCCAACAATGAGCTTTCCTTGAGCAACATAGAAGTCTATGGTTTTGACTATGACTACACTTTAGCCACCTACACGCCCAAATTACATGAACTTATTTTCACTCTCGGGAAAGAAGCTCTGGTTGATCAGCTAAAGGTGAGATATATCAAATTTAGGTCCACAACTTGCCTACATTTCTGTAACATAATTGTGTAATTTATTCAGAGCCCATCTGACATGCAATGCTGAAATATGCAAATGGATTTAGATATGAATATCTGTTTGTTTAAATACTTTACAGTATCCTGAGGCTATTCTAGATCTGGAGTATGATGTAGATTTTGCTGTTCGAGGTTTGCACTATGACATTAAAAAGGTGAGTCCACTGATAAGACGGTTTCAGAAATAAACAGGGGATAGTTCTTTATGGGGGAAGTGGTTAGTTTGTGTTGCTTTAGGATATTGTTCCCTCAGTTTTAGGCCTTCCTTTGCATACAGACTTGATGGAAACCGTATTTCCAAAATATTACCTGACTATCCCTAAAAAATCTACATAGATATTTGTCATTTCTCCTTGAGCCATTATTTGCTTCATTTTTTTAAGCAATGTTAATAATTGATGATGCTGTCCTGTCATTTTGCTTCTGTTAATGTTTGTAGAGTTGATCAGAATATAGTAGAGAAAAACCAGAAACTTTGATATATATTAATGTTTAATATACTTTTATACCATGTTTAGTGTGTAATACCCTTTATCATTTGTGAGAGCAGGATAAGGCTGTAATAGTTTCATGTTCATGTTTTTTTTGTTTTTTGTTGTTGTTTTTTTTTTGCTTGTATAACTTCTACTAAACTTTTTATTATTATTCAGGGTGTTTTTATGAAGATCGACCAGTTCCATAACATTCAACTTGGCACAGTGTACAGGTCAGCCAAAACAGGATTTAGAACTCTATATACAACTGATACAGCTTAATATAATTAATGGTATCTGTTGTGTGCATACAGAGCTTAATACTGAATCAATATATTATTAACATGTCATAATAATCTGTTCCTTGATAGGTGACAAAGATCCAATCAACTTTCTATAGCTCTGTCAGCTTTTGTGTAAGATTTTAGCACTTTTATTTTCACTGTTGCAGAGGAATGCACCCAGTACCGGATGAAGAAGTGAAAACTTTATTTGAAGGGACTCACATATCAGTTGAAAACATGAACACCTTCTATGGAGTGGTAAGTTTTCTTGATCTTGAATGGTTATTAAGGAAAATGTTTTGGGACAGAGTTTAAAAAATAACTATTTCAGGAAGTAATTGTCAATAATTAAATGTTAAGTTATCTGGTCTCTTGATCTTCTAGTTATATATTTTTTTTTACATTGTCATTAAATTTAAACTAAAGGACAATGTATTATACTATTTATACTCGGTATGCATTCAAGTTGCACTCGGACTGCTTCACTGCTGAAGATAATTGTGTTTTCATTCTTCTCAGGGACCAATGCATCAGATGGTCGACTTGTTTGCCCTCCCTGAAATCACTTTGGTCTCACTGGTGACAGAGGTGGGTCAGAGCTTTTGAAACGCAGTTGTTGCTTTGAAATTTGGGGGAAACAAAAATGTATTCACTTTACTCCACATGGAAGTAAAATTCATTTTAAAATCATGTAATTGTTAAACTCTTATTGGACACATATTTTTAATGATGGCTTTCGTTCAAGGATTGCTTCTGTGTGTGGGCAGTAAAGGGCTGAAAGTATTTTAAAACACTTTTCAAAACTTTATTGTTTTATTAACAACTCGTGAGACTTTTATTAAATATTAGAGATTGTAATTTTTAAAAGAAAAGATTAGTCATTCATATGGTGTTTTAAGCTGTTGATGCTGCAATGTCACTGATTCAAATAAATTGAAGCACTATTTTTGTCCACAGTATTTTATTTCCAACAACATCACTTATGATCCAGAATATGTCTTCTTTGATATTCGTGTAAGTAGTTTGCATTAAATGCCAAGCAGATTTCTCATCATTCTGTTTTATTACCTCAGGAAGCTTTGTAATGTTTGAACACCCGAAAGACAATCGTATTGATTTCTTAAACTGTTGGATAACATGTGCTAAATAGTCATTTCCTATCACCTGGCAGGCGTCCACTGTGAATTCCAGTCTAAGTAGGAATAAATAGTTCTTAAGAGAAATGCTGGTAGACCACACAGTATTTGGCCTTGAACGAGGATGGCAACACTCTAGGAGAACTTAATGGTTATTAAGGGGAATGTTTTGGGACAAAGTTAAAGCAGAACTATTCAGGAAGTAATTGTCAATAATTAAATGCGTTATCTGGTCTCTTTTCCGCTGTTGATCTATATAGATATAGAGATTATTTGAGTTTTTTGCTCAATACTCATTTACTGTAAATATTTTGATATATTATTTTTAAAATACAAAAAGTTACAACTAAAAGCATATTTTAAAAAAAAAATTAAATGAAAGTGTATGCATTAATTTTTTTTTACAAATATTGCTTTATACATTAGTTATTTGCTGTACATAGTGGTTGTTGCAGTAACAACTTTTACAATTAATTCATGCTACAGATGGCTATTTGAAGCTCCAATAATCTTTAAAAAGCCTTTGATGTCTGCCTTTGTTACTTGATTTGATTGTAAAATCTCTTACTATGACGATGTAAATAATATTGTGTATCTAAATATCATTATGCTTCCCAGAGCCGAGTACAGGTCAACAACCCTTTATCTAAAACATGGGGATCTGGTGTCTTTCAGAATAACGAAATTTTTGGATTTCTTAACGGTAGTATAGCATTGTTGTTCATCTGCAGGGCTCTATCGGGATTTGTGGGGGAGGTGTTGCACCTGTTTAAATTTTCTGGTACTGAAAAAGATTAACTGCTGAATCTGTGTATGAATCCCAGTAACTTTTACTAGTATGGTGGGGCTTAGCCTTGGTTTTAAGCGTACTCCCTAAAGTTAGCCTAATAAACTCCCCACTTCCTGCTGACACAGCGCCATGTCCTACCTGCCAGTCAAGCAAGGGCATACGCCATCAAGGATCCCTTTCTGTTTTGCACTGTCTGTGGCCACACTCTATTACTCTAAATGTAATTCCCATTATTAGTGTCATTGCTCTCTCATTAGGTCCTTTCTTCAAATATCCCTAGGTCTACCTCGACCTCTTACCCCTTTGTGCTAAGATGTGTCGAAGGTGGAAGTGGTAATAGGCTGTCACTACCGTTCTCAATGGCTGAGATCTCTTGTAGTCCCTGACGACCTGTTTCAACTCCTGGCGTTTGTGTGTAGCCTATAGACCCTAATATTATATTATATAGAAGCTCTTAGTGGGTTAGTATTCATCAAACTTAAATTTATAAAGCTATCAAGCTGGCAATTTGGTTGCATGCGATTTGGCAATGTTCCTTTTGCTAAGCTACTCTTACATGTCTTTGCTGCACAGTTAAAAGTAATCTGTTTCTCTTTTTTGGATATGTTAACAATTTTTTGGATTTTTTTAATCTAAAAATATATACAGTGGTCCCTCATCTATTGAGGGGGTTAGATTCCAGGAACACCCCCCCCCCCCAATATAAAAGTAATTCTTTTCTCTTTTTTGGATATGTTAAAAATTTTTTGGATTTTTTTAATCTAAAAATATATACAGGGGGCCCCCCTCTATTGAGGGGGTTAGGTTCCAGGAACACCCCCCCCCCCCCAATGTTAGGCGAAAATCCACAAAGTGGCGACCTTTTATTTAATTTATTATTTATATATTTTTTTAAGCTTTATAAACCCTCCCCACACTCTTATAAATCTTTCCCACGCTGCTATTAACCTTTCCCACATACTTATAAACAATTCTTATGCTCTTAAACACTTTCTACACCTAAACCTAAATAATTTTAACACCATATAAATTTCTATATGGTGTTAAAATATATACAAGTAAAATATCTGAAATTCAGTGTGACCCCGAAAAATCAACAACTATATGGCAAAGGGCAGCTGTACATTGAGACATGTTCATGACATGAATGTTGCTATTTTATAGATGTATAATTACTTTTAGCAGCTATTTGTCAGGGAAAATAGGGCATATTTGTCCAGGGTAAATAGCTGAAGTGATTTCTGGTAGAGCCCTATCTTTTTTAATCACAATAGTGTGGTCAACAAACAACACTAATAAGTGTAAGAAGCCCAGGACAACTTCTTTGTAAAAATTTTGACCATAAAGTTTGGATGCAGGTTGTGCATAATTTTTATAAATGACCTTAACATTACTAAGTTGATTTGTTTTGAGGAGCATTTCAGATGATGAGTTGTGGACCTGTATTTTTTTTAAATTTGGTTTTCCACATCATAATATTAATGGCATGGTGGATTTAATTCCATATCTTACATCATTCTTTTGAATATTTATTTTTTTATTTAAATATTTACCAAGAAAATACGTTTTAAAATACTCTAATCTTTTAAACCATAAGGCGTACCTCACCATTTATGTCAAAGAAATCCTGTTTTGATGTCTCTCAGGGAACTATTTAGTTACAAGTCAACTGTCTCTTAACACAGATATTTTGCTCTTTTGTTTTCCCCAGAACACGGTGCAAGGAATTCACAACTCCGGCGTGCTCCATCAAGCAATCATTAAAGACCTAGGTATGAACAAATAGCTTTATTTATCCTAAAACTGTGTCTGTCATTGCCATGTGTACCACCACCAGAGGCTGACTCCCACAACACTATATAAAGCTCCCTCCTTCTTCTCAGGGCATCTGCCACTAAATGGAGCAATCCTGTGATTATATTGGTCTGTGAAAAAGTCATAAGCCTCTATCTATCTATCAAAGAAGTTAATTTCTGTTAATTTATGGGAGAAATGCTCATCTCTTTTTTTAAATATTTCTTGTAATAATTCTCCCCATTTTTAATGAGGTGCTTATCATTTGATGTTATAATAACTGCTTAGATAGTTACCTTTAACTGTGACAAACTCGTCCACAACTCTGTTCTTGTTATCTTTAAATTAATCATTGAAATGTGTAGTTTGATGGGATGAATCAAACTTTATTTTGAAATTGTTACAATTTATGCCTTTGACCTATTTTCCATTGGCCCGATTTTGTTAACAATTTGAGATTCCAATTCTTGTGACAGACCAATACTTGTATTCAGAGAAGTGCTATGAGACAAAACTGCTGTTGGAGAATTTAGCCAATGAGGGGAAAAAACTCTTTTTGATCACCAACAGCGGTTTCCCTTTCATGTGAGTGCCAGTTCAATCTTGTGAGATGTATTTTTGCCAAACTTTCAATCTTGTAAGATGTATTTTTTCCAAACATTTAATCTTGTAAGATGTATTTTTGCCAAACATTCAATCTTGTAAGATGTATTTTTGCCAAACATTCAATCTTGTAAGGTGTACTTTCTAGCAAACAATAGTAGATTAATGTGTATTTGTTTGATGTCCTCAGTGATCATGGCATGACCTACATGGTTGGCAAAGAATGGAAGGAATTATTTGATATTGTCATAGTCAATGCTAGGAAACCTAAGTTCTTTAAAGAAGGTTACAGGTGAGGAGATCCCTTTTGGTCCCAGTGACTGTTTTTTGGTGTTGTAACCAATATTATTTTGGTAACTATTTGTAAATACAAAGTACAGAGAATGAGTTAGATTTGATTTGGTAGCTACTTGTATGAATGCAAATATTTTTATTCTAATTCAAGTTTATGAAGGAAATCATTTTATTCTAATTCAAGTTTATGAAAGCAATCATTTTATTCTAATTCAAGTTTATGTAGATACTTCGATGAAACAAGGGAGACTACTACTTTTTTTTGTATCGGAAATGGGCGTCGGCGCTGAAAAATCAGAGTTTTTAATTTTCCGATGTGTGTGTCTATTTATTATTAAATTAGTTCTTTCGACATATATTTGAGTTCCGTTTCCGGCCTTATAATTTGGAAGACATCTTGGCCTACATTTCTAGCCAGCTATTTTGCTTTTTTCAATCGACCTTTATTTTGAAAATCTTTGGTATATATAAGGCATCTTCGCATACAAAATTTTTTGTGAAATAATAAGATAAGGTCCTTTTTGATTAAATCTGTATGAGCATTAGATATTGATCTATATCTGTGCCAAGTTTCATTGATGTAGGTCGTGTCTCACGTTTGTTACACTTGTCACAGTGACCCATATCACCATAAGGTGGCTCAGCCTAATTTCGACATGGCGTGGGCCACGCCCCCTTTTTAATGGCGGAAGTTGCCGATACTTAGGAAATATTTAATTATTACCACTATATACATCAAAATATTTTATATTTTGTGTTTCAGAATGCATTTTGAAGACATTTAAACTGGAATGTTTTAATTTGAGCTATAAAAACCCTGTAGAGTCCATATTATAAATGATCAGAATTTTCCCTGTGCAACACGTTGTCATTGGCAACCAAGCACAGCCACTTGCATAACATCTATATCGTAGTACTACCTCAGAGTTTCATTCAAAAACTATTAAACCATTGGTCAAGGAAAGCTTTAATTAATTATTGATGTGCCAAAGTTGAAAGTTTAAAATAAGTTGACCCTAAACAGTATTTTAGTGATAAGGGAATGCGTTGCCTTATATAAACTATATAGTCATTGCGCATGACGCGATCAGCAGAATGAGGTCACAGAATGTGGAGATGCAGTCCATGTTAAAAAAGGACAAACCAAGTCGTACTTTAAAAATTCATAACTTAAAAACTACAACAGCTAAAAATATGATTTTGGTGTTATAATTCTGTAAAAAATTAGCTTTATTCAACTATGCTGTTACGCACTGACTTGTATTGGGAGAAATTAATCTCCTATTTTAATTTTAATTGGCTCGTTGTAAACAGTGCCTAACAAAGGACGATACCATAGAATCAACAATATTAAAGATACGACCCAAAACAGTTTCTAGTTACAATTAATAAGATTTATTAAGTCTTAAGATAATTACAAAAGAAAAGAAAATATAATTACAATCTTCAACTTACAGTATGGTAGATCTTGTACCGGTACACAGTTAACACAGTAAAAATAATGTGCCAATAAATAATGCGAAATAAACACATATGAGCACACAAATACACAAAGAATAAAACACGCCTCGTAATGTTAAGAAAATCTATCTGAAATCTCCGTCCCCTCGTATCTGTCAATCCTTTATATACATGTAGCGTAAGACGCTTCCAGAAGGATCTATGACGTGTTGTTTACATATCTCGGGTTAAGGAGTACATTCGAGAAGTTACCCAGAGACATTCTACCCAATGCCTAATTGGAAGCCGATTGTAAACAAGCTACATCAAAGAGATTTAGCCACGCCCACAACAGACGTTACTATCTGTTAGGAGTGTACTATGAGGTCGAGGAAAGTTCATGCACATGAAATTGTGCTACATAACATATGCCATTGGATTATTTTTACAAAATGTTTAAATTTTTGACCAAAGTATCTAGTTTATGAAGGCAATCATTTCATTCTAATTCAAGTTTATGAAGGCAAACAACTCATCCACTTGTCATGCTTTAATTTATTTCCATTTCTCCAGACCATTTCGAGCTTTAAACATGGATTTAATGACTCCAGAATGGGGACGCATCAGTAGTCTCAGTAAAGGTGTCATATATCACCAGGTGAGAAGATCAGAACTTAACTATCAAATCATCTTGAGCACAACTACATAGCTGATCATTTGTTGTTGTTTTTTATTTCAATGGTTTGAATCTGTGGGAGGTGTTCAGCAAGGGTTTGATTATTAGTCCCAAATTTCTGGTGTTGTCATTTGGCTCAACTCCAGGGGAATGCAAATACACTCAAGTTGACAAAAGGATAATGTCTTAAGTTTATTGTTTTACTTGGTACCGTTTTGTTCTCTTGTCATACCATCTGAAGGTTTGAAAAAGTACCTGTCCATATTTTCATTTAACTAGGGCAATCATCATGAACTACAGAAAATGACAGGTTGGTATGGACCGAAAGTGCTCTACTTTGGGGACCACGTGTACAGTGACCTGGCAGTAAGTGAAGCTAGAAACTCAACTGTCAAATGTTCATTTATTGCTGTACTAAATACTCATCTGAAACTCAACTGTCAAATGTTCATTTATTGCTTTACTAAATACTCATCTGAAACTCAACTGTTAAATGATCATTTATTGTCCCCTACTAAATACCCATCTGAAACTCAACTGTTAAATGTTCATTTATTGTACCGTACTAAATACCCATCTGACACAAGTGTTAAAAGTTCATTTATTGTACCTTACTAAATACCCATCTGTTCATTTATCCTTCTTTATCTGAAAAACTTGATGTTACAATATTGGACAAAACGATACTGTGATACAAAGCTAGAAGGCATAGAGATATGAAATCCAAAAACTGGTTTTGAGATATGGCAAAATAAGAATTAGTTTTATTATTTTTGTATAAATTATTTTCCTTTGCTAATTTTATTTCTTTTTTTTTAAACCTGTTCTAGAATAATTCTTGTTGATAAGTTTTCATTAGACCCGTCTGATCAATTGAGAAGGACATTGTATCGTATTTATTTATATATTTTCAATAATAAAGCATTTTCTTGTCACTTTGCAGGATCCATCGCTAAAGTATGGCTGGAGGACTGGAGCTATCATACCAGAGCTAGAGGTAACACATTCATTTAGCAATTAGTGATCCAATATCAAAAGAGTAGAATCCAAGGTCTCTTTGTCTTTGCAGGCAGGTATTCTGCAATATATATTAATTAAAACGTTTACATATCCCATTATCCATGTCTCATCACTCAATGTACACTACAGATCTAGAATTTACCAGAATTTGGTATTTAATTGTTTATTCGGTGTTGGTACACAAATGTTCCATGCTGTGCAAGTTGTGTGCAATCATGTACAGGCAGAGACACTTTGAATGACTGGCATTTCAGATAATCAGCATTTGGAAAATTGATGCTCTACTGAATATATAAATAGTCAGCCTGACTTTCCCTGCATTTGTGTGCTAGTTTCTCCTCCAATACACACCTTATAATTCTACCCCTAATTCTTGTGTGTTTATCTAAAAACTCTTTTATTCCTGGTCTCTTAAATAAAAACACTCTCTCTCTCTCTCATTCTCTTTCCCTCTCTTTTTCTCGCCTAGATAAAAAAATCATTTTTTAAAATAATCTCTTGCTACTTGATTTCGAACAAGAGAGTTCTAATATATAGATCAATAGCTTCCTAGTTTGGTCAGTGATTAGAGTTTGTAACTTGTATCCTCAGAGATTATAAAATATCGTTACTTGCATTTTTCCAGGCTGAAATCAACAAACAAAATTCTGAGGTTTACAAGTCGTCTGTCAGATGGTTGGTGGCCTTACAACATTTGATCGATGAGATGCAGGTCAGTGGTGGTATTCTATAGGCCAGGGGTCGCCAAACCACGGCCTGCGGCCCGGATCCGGCCCGCGACATCAGTTCATAAGCCCCTCCGACAGTACTTGAATTTGCTTGATAAAACATATGTAACATGAAACATTGTGATACAATTTAAATTTAAATATTATGTTTAGAGAGAATACTAGGAGATCTTCACACATGCGGAGACCACCTGGCAGCTATGTGCATTAACTTTACCATTTTCAATTATTGTATTCCAAATCTTCTTGTTTATTTTAATCATTGCAATGTTTGCTCATTTTTTGCCATCCTAAGTCCTTCCCTGGCTCGTAGCTCCGCCTACGCTCTTACGTTACCACGGTTAACACCCATGATTTACATGGAATACTAAACTTAGTTTTTTTCCCAGAGTTTTTGTTCTGGCTTACAAGTATGGCACAGAATGATGATGCGGCCCGCACTCATCATTTTGTCAGTTATCCGGTCCGCGGTGAAAAAAATTTGGTGACCCCTGCTATACGCCACAGTATAAAATAATATGACATTAATTTTTTTTTTTTCTAACTGGCCAATGAACCTTGATGTTGAAATTTAAATATGAATAGAACTGTTAAGAGTGTATTTCACACAATAAGTTCTCATCTAGTCATCAAAACTGTTAGAGAATCTATTTGATATTGTCCTAAAGTTAGGGCAATAAGTCATAAAATCAACCTAAGGTCATGTAAATCTTTTAATGAATAATAAAATTCATTTGGTTAATTTACATTCTCACTGCATTTATTTTTTGCAAAGTAAAATGGTTACATATCTCATTTAATGTATTCTTCAAATCAGCACTAGACATCTCTCATTTAATGTATTCCTCAAATCAGCACTAGACATCTCTCATTTAATGTATTCGTCAAATCAGCTCTAGACATCTCTCATTTAATGTATTCGTCAAATCAGCACTAGACATCTCTCATTTAATGTATTCCTCAAATCAGCTCTAGACATCTCTCATTTAATGTATTCGTCAAATCAGCACTAGACATCTCTCATTTAATGTATTCGTCAAATCAGTACTAGACATCTCTCATTTAATGTATTCTTCAAATAGTGCCAGACATTTCTCATTTAATGTATTCTTCAAATCAGCACCAGAATTCACCTGAATGTAAGGAGGTAATAGAGTCTTGGATACAAGAGAGAAATGAAATGAGGTGGGTACTTCATAGACAGCCTAAGTTTATTAACTTCATAGACAGCCTAAGTTTACTATAACATCTTGCCAATTTCTACTTCTGCCTGTTGTTATTGTTGAACTGTCTCACAGCACAGATCATGTGACACTCCTAGGGACAATCTACACATGCTTACACAAACTACACTGTTTAAACATTTGTATTTAAGGCTGCGACTATTCGCACCTGGATACCAGAAGTGAGATGTTGGGATTAAAAAACTATTTCAAATATTATTGTTGGGTCTCTAAGGCAATGTGAGGTATCAAATGAAAGATAACTGAATGGACTATGTTTGTAAACTTACTTCTTCAGTGAAATAAATAAACTACCACAAATGACATCCGAATAGCATTCAGTCTAATGGTACCCGGGTGCGAATGGCAGCGCTGCGTGTCTGGGTACATTTTGACTCAATGCTATTCGGATGTCATTTGCAGTAGTTTATTTTAGTTAAACTGAAGAATTAATTTTACAAACATATAGTTCATTCAATTATCTTTCATTTGATTCCCCATTTTGTCTTACAAACCCAACAATAATATTTTAAATAGTTTATTAATCCCAACCTCTCACTTCTTGTACCCGGGACGATTAGCCACTTCGTTTATTTAAAACAAGATTATAATTAACTTTTGACCACCATACAATTATGGTCCAAATTTTAGTTTAAAAATGAATTTTACTGTAATTGACTACCATGTTGTTGTTTTTTTTTTAAGTTTCAAGTGCTGTAATATTTCTTTGTCCAACATCACAGGGTGTTCACCAAATCACTGTTCAACCCACATTTTGGAAGTTTGTTCCGGACGTACCACAATCCCACTTATTTCTTCCGCCGCCTAGCAAGATTTGCTGACATATACATGTCCAGTTTGACCAACCTGTTGAGGTACTCTACTACATACACCTTCTACCCACATCGCATCTTGCTGCCCCATGAACCCAGTGTTTACTCAAAGAGACCAAATGTCAGAGAAAATGGAAATGAAGACTAGAATAATTTACATACATTTGCCATGCAGACATTACTTATTTGAGATTTTTACATTTCTTATGTTTTTCTGATACACAGGGTGCTTTTGGGAATAAAATAATAACTGAGTTTCAACTATGATTTCTGTAAATGACACTGGTATTTTATTTGGTATTTTATTTTGAGATTATTTGTGAGATGGATGCGGAATAAAGCAGTGAATTTGTACATAATTAATGATGCTAAAATAAAAATATTACCCTTTCATGTAATTATTATCAGCAGTTAAGCCTTAAATTTGTTGAATCTCAAAAGTTCTACCAAATACTCACATATTATATGCAAATCTAAAAATCTTTAAATAAAATTTTTATCCAAAAATATTGATATATGTTTACAAGTTAGCATATCTTCAATATTTAAATTACATAAACTTTAGGGAGCTCTCCAAAATTCAAGGATTAAAAAATGATTGAAGTATTATACATGAAAAACTAAATTATTATTTATAAGTCTTCTTCCAGACATCTAATGTTAACTGAGGTCAGTTCATTGAGGTGTTAAATAATTAGTATGACTAAGTGGTAGGCCTAAATGAAATTGGAAGTTGAGAGAATAATGATGCAGAAGTCGCCAAAACATTGTACATTATTGTCATAATAATTATTCAGATAGAGAAATCAACAATCACTTGAGCTCAGATTTCTACATGTAGGATAATTTATTAGGATGTTAATATCTTGTTTGCAATCCAAAGGTTGTGCAATAATATGATTATTTTATTTTCTGACTCTTGAGCATGTGATTTTTTTAAGCGATTTCCGTATGTGTGCATGTGAAATTTCAGGTAGAGCCATCACACACTCTGGTTGTCATAGGTCAGTATTTGTACTAAATCAGAACTATCAGTATTCTAGCTTTGCTCAAATTGTGCACGTTATTAAAATGTTTAATAGTTAACAGAAGTCAGTCTTCTACTGTGATTCTTTGTAGAGCTGCTCAATGTTTGCATAATTTAATTCTCTGTTGACACTGGAAGTTAGTTTTCTATTGTCTGTATCAATAAGTATTTTAGCCCTGCTCAAGGTTCTCCCAATGATCTTGTATTCTGAGAGACTTTGTAATGATCTTGTATTCTCAGAGACTTTGTTATGATCTTGTATTCTCAGAGACTTTGTAATGATCTTGTATCCTGAGAGATTTTGTAATAATCTTGTATTCTGAGAGACTTTGTAATGATCTTGTATTCTGATAGATTTGTAATGATCTTGTATTCTGAGAGACTTTTTATATTTCTAGTTTTTATTTATTTTACACTTGAATACATTGAGAATGTGAGTTACATATTCAATTAGTAACAGCTGCTGTCCATCTTTAGAATTTCAGTTTAAACAAAAATGTTGCTGAAACCTCAGTTACCATTGGGTTAGAAATATGCAGCACAGAAACCAAAGATTTGAGATGAGGAAAAGTTGAAGCTGAATAATGAGAGTTCCAATGACAGGAGTTCTTTTAATGCTATCATGCTATGGAGGGTGTATCACCAAAACCCCGGATGAAAATGACTCAAAGGCAGACTTAGAAGGATGGATGATGTGGAAAAAGATCTACAGCAGCTGGGAATCCAAGCATGGAAAGGAAAAGCATTAGTTGGGTCTGAGTGGAAGGAAGTAGTGAGGCAGGCCAAAGCCCTACATGGGCTGTAGCGCCACAGGGATGGATCGATATCAAGCTATATTTAAATAATTCCATATCAACCTTTTTACTCAATATTTACTGACATTAATATCGGCATGATATTATTTTAATAAGATTCGCTCTAGATCTAATTGCTTCCATTTTCTCATGACAGAATATTTTATATGGAAAGATGTCTTAAATTTTAATGCTCTTGTTAGTTATTGATTACTAGCACAGGAAAAATAAGTTTAAGATGAGAAAAAAAGAATTGTATCCAAGCCTACCAAGTTCAATTTTTGAGACTACTGATAAATAAAATTAATAGATTTTTAAATTCCTTGAGACTTCCTGTCTTCTCTGTAACTGAAATGTAAGGTAGCCATAACCAACTACCTCAAAGGTGCATTATTTGATGTGTAATGTAAAACATGTTAAGAAAAATAATTTTTTTAAAGTTGCGAGTGAATCACATCTCTAGGGATCATGTTTACTGAAGGTGTTGCCCACTAATTAAATTAGAAGCTTTTGACCTGAAATGGTTGGTTTTTTGGGGCGCATATCTTTGGGGGTTTCAGTGTATTTGGTCATTACTCATTTAACAGTTTTACTGTAATTTCCTTTCAGGGATTTGTTACATTTTTCTGTCTTTTTTTTTTGTCAGTGATCATGTTTTATGATAGCAATCTCAGTGGGTGACAGACATGAAAAATTTAGACTGAACAATATAGTGAAATAAACTTGTTCAATTTGAAATGGTATTTCTTCCTATTGTCAACATTGTGTTTATCTATAAGTGAATGTATTATTTATTTGTTGTGGGGGTTAGTTTGAAATTATGTAACATTGCTTGGTTTATTAGAATTGAAAAATGATGACATAAACAATAATTTAAATCAGGAAAATAAAAAAAGAATTTAAAACTCTTCACTCTTTTTAACAACGGAAAATAATCCATTTTAATGGTTGTTTTAATATATCTGGTGATTCTCAACCCTGATAATATAAAATATAACAAAATGTAATAAGTTATATTTTGTTTTAACTTGAGAAAATCAAGAGGTAACACACTTAGCTAACATCCCTTAAAAAAATGTTTCAGTCTTAACAAATTTGCTCATGGTCTCGTGTTTTTTTTGTTACATTTCTTATAGTAAAGCTTACAACCAAGATCATCCCACAGTTTTATCGCGCAGGAAGCAGTGGCAGCGCTAGAGGGTGGCCAGCGGGCACACAAAACATGACATTTTATAAATCTAATCCCCTTCTCCCAACACCAAACTGTATGAGTAGCCAGCCTGCCGTTAGTTTCAGCGTCCACCTAGACAACAATTATTGAATATTTGTGACACAATTACAATCTGGACTGCTGCACTTGATCTATCAAACAAATACAGTTTCACGCAATTATAACGCAGCCCCCACTCAGCTAAATATTCAATTCACTTTATAGCGCTTGATCCTCAAAACTATATAATTATCCATTATTAGGACATTCTCTATTATCATCCATTGTTAGAACATACTCTATTATCATCCATTCTTAGGACATACTCTTTTATAATTCATTTTAGGGCATTCTCTATTATAATCCATTGTTAGGGCATTCTCTATTTAATAGATAACACAGAAGTGGACTTTAAAAATCTGGAAATAAATGATTTCAGAAAGTACCTATTTAAAAGTAATATTTAATTGTACCAGTAATATAACATTTACTGAAACATCACTGCTATTGTCTATTTCTTTCACTGCCATGGTCAAATGCTGAGTTAATCAGTGCTTAATAATTCAACAGCGTACCTTTAAAAAAAAATTAATTAAAAAAATTTATTGTAATTATGCACATGCCTTTAAAATAGGATAGAGCCTGTTCTTGGATATCACTTAAACTTAAACTAGTAAAAAAATAATAAAAAATATATGTGTTTGCAAATTTCCTGTAAAAGTTTGTTGAAATAAATGCCTTGCTAAAGATGCTGTTTAATTGATTTCGGACAGCATTTTTGCCCGTTCCCATAAAACAGATCAAAGTTGGTAATCATATTTTGAACAGCTTAATTCGTCAGCCTTATCTTAAAACGGCAACAATTAATTAAAATATGTTTATCAGTACCTGGAGTTATTTGGGCAATTAACATAAATTTAGATTTAATTTAGCAAAATTAACAACACGATAAAAAAGATTTTCAGGTTTCCCAGATAAATGTGTTTACGGATTAATAAAAGAAAAATAGTTTATCGTAACTGAATTCACATTCAGATAAAAATACTCAAAATAATGCATTCCTTTAACTGTTTCAATAAATCATAATGAATGTATTTCTAATTTATAATAATAATACTTACATATTATTATGGTGTTTCAAGACCAATAAAACAACTTTTATTCATCAGGTCCTTCCTCTAAATCAGATTTCTCCAATCTTAAATCTCCAATATTGACAAGACACAGCGCTGCCATCTGTAACAAACTACTAACTGGGATAAGCAGTTCAATGACTTCGTTACATCTAGAGGTAATTACTAAACAAATCCATGATCGATATGGCATATGGTGGTTCTTTATTGAAAAAACAGTGTGTCTTCATTCTTCCGCTTTCTCTCTGCGACTCGCTCACTACTAAAACCACAACAACAAACAACATCATCTCTCATACCCAAATACATCACAAATACAAACCAACAGCAATACAAATAATCTCCACACCAAAACACACACCCACAAAACAGGAACATATTATTTGCACCATCTACTACCTGAGACATGACTGACTTTGATAAAGACCAGTTTATAGACAATTTTATGATCTAAGATTTTCTTTATTGAGTTTTACATACAAAACATAGAAGATGTAATAAGAGATTTGTAATAATCATTATTGAGTGGACTATGGCAGTGAAATGATAGGGTAATCATGATCTCATATAAAACAAATATTAATTTCTATATTATGTACAAAAAGTTTTCCATTTTTTAGAGGACATAGGACATGTGTCAAAACGCAATCATCACACAATGACACCATAAATTACCTAACCAATAGAGACCAATCAAAACCTCAGCTTTAACCAAGAAATTCATTTAGAGTATTTCATTTCTGAGAGAAAGTATATTTAAGATTTTGCACAAATCTGAATCTTGAAAGTTTTTGACAAGTTGACCTAAGCTGTCAGTGTTTGTTATCTCTGTTCTTTCTCTGCCCCTCAGCTGTGTGGTGCACCACTTACTGATGCCCTGCACCTATTACCAAGCCTTTCCATTTAATTATAGTAACTCCAGGCCTGGCAAATCTAACAAAACCATGGATTTCATTGCTGTCTCCACCATAAAGGTCAAAAGTTTACCTGACACTCTAAGGAAACTTTTCTTATTTATTTAAATTGTTGTCAATCTCCAAAGCCTTGAAAAAGGTGGGATAGAATGTTAAACTTATTTAGAATGGGACTTTATCCATCACTCCATCTGGATATCTCTCATATTAATAATTGTGATCCAGTTCTATATTATCTTTCATATCAACTGTTTTGATCTATTATTTAAAACCCACTAAGTAAGTACTGGTGAAAATTTAATTTTTTTAAAAAAAGGAAAGTTTTGACTGGTCTCTACTACTGTATCCAATATTGAGCACAAGATAGGATCAAATATCATCACAAATGGCATGCAGCAAAGTTGCATGTTCTAGAAACAGTTCAGTGACCCAGTGAAGATAAAATGAGATGATGACTTAATTTGACAAGCATTTTGTTTTTGGGGAGAGGAATTTATTACTATAGTTTGAAAAGAGCCAAGTGGAGGTGTGGCACAAATATCCTGGAAATATTTTATGTTGCAGGTAAATTCTACTTGCCAATTCTAGAAACTATGGTTAGGCTATGTCCAAAAATAGAAACTACAGTAAGATTGTGTCTACTTGACAAATGCTATTTACTATAGATGGATTTTGTGTAGATAAATGTTAGAGTAGAAAACTACAGTAGGTTCCTATAATTGTAAAACTTTTATTACCTGCCAGGTAAGTAGGCCTATTCACTTACTCAGCAAAATATGGCTAGTATGTTGTTGAAGTTATCATGTACCGTAAAAAATAATTTTTAAAAAAAATGAAATTTTTAATGAGTAATAATGCAATGAATAAATGAGAAATGAACAATAAATTATTTTATGAAAACTTGAAAACTTAATTTATGTAATAAAATATCTATTATGGACAATTCACTGTGAAATAAAGACCACATGAGAAAAATTTCAAATTCATAACAAAAGATTTTAAATGACCAATGACAAACACTCATTTTTTAAAGGCCAGAATAAATCATATAAATATTCCACTTTACTATACAATATATAGCGTTCAAATGCCCTCAGACGACAACTATGAACAAGTCCAAATCTGAGAGTGGAGCAAAGCTTCCATAGTTGTCTTGGATCTCATTGCCCCATTATGAACTATCTCCTTTATTTCTTTGGTGTGACCTTTAAAGCGATGTTTTGAGTTTTCTCTCCATAAAATTTCTGATCCACATTTTTGATTATTAAAATTGCTGGCTGATGTACCAGCACACCACCCTCATGATAATCACACCAGCCTCATGATAATCACACCAGCCTCATGATAATCCATATATATCAGTTAAAAATTCAATAAATAAATCTATTTTAAATTAAGATGATTGAAAAAAGAAAAAAAAAAAATCTTTTCACTGATCATCTCTCGTATATGTTTTCTGAACATCAGAAAACCATTGATTGCTTTGTGGGGTGGGCAGCAGGTGATTTAAAGTTTGAATTCAATTGTATTTTCTTTAGAAATTTGTTCAACCATCCAACGTCCACGACAGTTTAAAGATATACATGAGATTTTTCTCGTCAAGTCCAGAGGAAGTTAAACCAAAGCATTGAGGCCAATCAGCCAGCTACTTCCATGCTGGTCCACCACTCCCAGCTCCCTTGCCAACAGGAGGCTTTGTCGTTGTTGTCGTTGGCCCGACAAACTTTTTCTCTTTACCGGGTTCAGTCGCTGGAGCCGCTGTCGGTGCTGGTAATTTCTTGCCAGTTGCCTGCACTCCTGTTGGTTTAGGAATCACTGTGGATTTTTCACGGGTATCACCGTTGATGCTGGAGTCAGCTGACTACAAAACGAACAAAATAAATTTGATCACACAATGAGAAACTATGTAATATTTAACTATTGTTTTTTTTACTTATTTCTCATTTCATCCTACTATTATTTTATTCTTATATTGATATTTTTATTAGTCCCATTATTATTTTATCTTACTAAATGTTCTTCAATTATTATTGAATTCTATTATTTTATCCCACTATCACTTTTTCCTACGATTATTTAATTCTACTATAATTTTTTTATTAAAATATTTTATCATATTAATAATTGTTTTATTATGACTATTATTTAATCCTATAACTACTGGTACAGTAAGACATTGATAATCCTGATTAAACTATTATGACTATTATTTAATCCTATAACTACTGGTACAGTAAGACATTGATAATCCTGATTAAACCATGTTATTTTTACAGATGCAATTACCTTCACGTTTAAGTCCCTCTACGATCCCCCCCCTCCCCACGTAGAGTGTTTTCGTCTCATAAGGCAATCTAGATTGTGGAAGTATTACCATATTTACTATTATTTTGATGCTACCCATTTCTTCTAATTTAATTAATTTCTACATTTATTTTTAGGAGGTATT